AATCCAAATTTATACGCTTTCTCTTGCCTGACGTTTCCATTACTGTGATGAAATAATTCTTCTTTCTTATAAAAACACGCCAAAGACAATGCTAATTTTGAGTTTTATTCACCAATTATTTTTAATTTAGCTGAATTCCTTGTCCAGCCCGTTACGCTTCACCGCAACCACTGTCAAAGCACGGGTGTGTTGTCCAAATTACCGACCCGCTCTAGGTAATTGGCATTGTTCTCGAGGGTTTTCCTTATATAATTTGACCTTTTGTTTCCTAAAACCAGTGGCGGATGGCAATAAGCAGGGGTGGCAATATAACGGGTGTATTAACAAAAGGGAGAAATCTATTCTTCGAGAATTCTTGGCAATAAGCGAGGGTGGCAATATAACGGAGGGCAATATACCAAGGTAGCACTGTATTTTCAACTTCAGCTAGGTCATCATATTAAAAAAAAATCATATATTTCCAAACATTGAGGAGTTTCATTGTATTTAATCTTGTAAATAATGTATCTGACCAGCAACATATGGCATGTGGCTTAATTGTGCTATTACGCATGCATCAAAATTTATTTCTAATTATAGCTTTCCTTAGTGTGCACACGGCCTTAATGCAAAGAAATTTGATGCGCAGTAAATTAATTTGAATTAACTTATTTGCATTAAATTGTCCATGTGAATGTGGTTCAAATTTAATCTGTATTAACTTACGTTTAATTCGAATTAAACCCTCCTTGTGAAGACGACATTAAATGTACATATCTCATACTGTACACCCTCATCAAAGCTTCACAACCAGATAATACATATTCTTGTCAGCTGTCAAGATCACATTCGCATGATTAAAATGAAAGTGAATGTGAAGTTGAATACCGATCCCGATTAGAATGAAGACAATTAAAGGACTGTTAAGGACCCTCTATACACTAAATCAAAAATGTTTTTAGTCCAAGATAAATAAATTGAACACTTTATTTGCATGTGTTATCTCACTCAAGTAAACAATGTGTAGAGATTTCTGTTCATCAATACTTTAATGTCTTTGAATATTTTTCTTAGGGTGTAAACATGCCATGTACCCTATGTTGAACATGTTGAAATTCAAGAAAATGAAGTAGATCTGATAAGCTCATTATTTATACCTTTATACAATATGATTTTTTTATTCAATTGTTAAGAATGCTTGTATTAACTAAAATTCAGTAACAGACTGCTAGGATTTCAATTTATCAAATTTGATTTAGACCCCAGGGCGAATTAGTCTCTATCTCCATAAAAATACCATAAAATCAGAGCTCTTTGGTGTGCAGTATATACTAGAGTGTAATTGATTTGTATGAGAAAACTGAAATTAAAATAATCATGGAGGGTAAAAAAATTGGGGGGGGGGGGGTTACAATCTTTCTGATTTCTTCTAATTCCATCAAAAAATATATACAGAGAGCTTAATTTATGCAATCTAAGTAATTATAATACACAGATGATAACATTTCTTGCTCATTTGAAATTACATATACATTTGTAATATTCTTAGCACACCGACTTGTTCACTATCAACAAAATGTTTTCCTTTTAAATTAAATTTTAATAATCTGGTTAAGTGGTACATTCTAACAGATACTCTTTATCAACAAACTTCTCTTAACATAATTGATCACTCAGGTTTACAGCGCCTGCCAGTCAATCGATATCAAACATTAATTAATAGAGTCCGGCCTCTAAAAGATTATGAGGCCCCTTATATTTTTTGTTGTATTGTCAAAATGTCTTTTATTGTCTTATTTAGTATTTTTAATACACTTACAAACAACTTGTTCCTTAGACACTAAATAATGATTAAATAACTTGAGTTTGGTCTGAATTTACTGTGCTTTTCCAGTCACTGCACTTAAAAATACTATTTTTGCAGCATCTACTGTAAGTTTTACTCGCATTAAGGTGTTGATTATATACATGTACTGTAGAAGCACAAATTTTCGTGGGCATAAAATTTTGTTATTTCTTATGTTATCTGAGAAGGTTTTGTAGGCATTAAATTTCATTGTTATGAATGTAACCCTACTCATTATATGGAAATGTAATATTTCATGTGGGATTAACAACGAACAAATGACAAAATAAAGGAATATTTCTGATTTAAAAGCATATATTGTGTGTATATATATACACTGTATAGCCCTGGCCTTGGGGAACTGGAATCTTGCTCCCTCCCTCAATGATATACTTTAACTGTATAATAACATAATTGTATTCTCTGCAGTTGGAAAATCTTTTCATTAATTTTTCTTTTTAAATCCCTCAATAAAAAAAAAATCTCTTCATTTTGAATTTCAGTGGTTGCATTATACCCCAATAAATACATGTATAGTGTGTACCCCTCCTTCTTTGTTTTTTGTTTTTTTTTTCTGAAAATAGAAGTGTGCACACCATAAAAGAGAATTTATAGTAGTTCGTATTTGTCTAATATATTAACACATTACATATGGAATACCCCGATGACAACAATGGCCAATGGTGTAGTATTAATTATCTGTCCTGTTTATTATGGAAAATAGCTAAATAATGAAAATTATCAGTATGACTGTCAGTTGCAAACATCTTTTTTTTCCCATTTAAATAATTTTATTTTACTTTTTATCTGGACTACATGTATCATTGGTGAAGTTCTTTGTCTTTTAAACTGAACCTTTAATTTTTTTTTTTTTATACTGGCACAATTAGCTGATAACATACAGACTTAATTTTAAATTTATTGATCCTCCCAAATATTTTCCGGTCTTGGGCCAACAGACTGTCATTAAGGTAAATAAATATGTAAAACACTGATTCATGTTTGTAGTATATTGAAATAATGCAGGAAAACATGTACAGATCATGTTGATACACAAACACATCATCATGAACTCCGATCATCAGAACTTCAGGTAGTTTTGTTTTTTTTCTGACATGTAGGTTTTCACTATTAAATGAATATTATATAATTGCATTCATACCATAAACTTCTCTCTGCTGTGTTCTGAGAATCCATGAACATTGGTAATTTCTGATCCGAAACCAATGAATCTACCTGAAATGTATTATAATATTATGCAGTTTTAAAACATAAATTCCATGATAAATAAATAGGAAAATATATTCTTTAATTACTGTAACTTAGTAGAAGTCGCATCATTTTCATGAATCATCACAGCTATATATACATAATTTCTCTCAAAACTGTCCCAATGCAATAATGAGTGCATAACAATAGAATGACAAGTATCAATCTTTAAATTCACATACTTTGAAAACTTTGTACATTAAAATTAGGGCATGGCACTGTCTAAATGCACAGCATGTCTTTGACATTAATATCAACTTATATAGCTGTACTATACCCTCAAGTTGCCAGGGCTAGAAGACCACGTTGAAGCAGGGACCTATACATGCTTAACAGTTATATCTATGTCCCTGGGAGAAGTAAACAGCTACCCCCCCCCTTTCATCGTTTAAATTATTTCTAATATTTACGCCTCAGTTGTACATGTGTTTTTTTAGTTGACAGCTTAATATGTAGACAATATTAACAATGCTTTTAGCAGCCCACGTACCTATATATAACCCAGGCAGACTGAACGTTTCCCCGGCCCATAACACATGTTGTGACCGACTCTACTTTCGTTTTTAATATGAAACCTTCGAACTTGACATGACACATAAACAAGACGCGAAACGCAAGAAAACATTTAAAATTTCTAACAATATATTTTGCTACACATTTCAAAAGATCAACGTTGATTCAATAAAAATCGAAATATTAGATGCACGTACATGCAGAAATAGTTTCTCTCCGCGAGTACAACATATGCCAATATGGAATGTGTTTACCTTCCCAGAGACATAGATATAGAGAAGATTTCTTTATGTTTTCACTAACATTAATAATAATAACTTTTAGTTTAATGGTTTTAACCATTTATACTGCAATCAATTGAATCATGCAACGATGCATATTGTAAGAATACAGCATATACATGTATACATATCGTAGGAAAATTATTGAGTAAACAATAATGCCGTAATGTCATAATGGACACATATCTTTACTCATTTATTCATAGGCCATATTTAATACATGTACATAAAATTTATTTATTTACAGATTTTGTACTTACCTTTTACAAAGTTTACTTCGTCCTCATGTACATTCATGACTAAGTGTGAAACGGGTACTGTATTATGATGTCATTTACGACGTCATTTGATGTAGCGAGCATGCGCACTCGCAATGTGTGTAAGTCTCGCCGAGAAGAAAAAATGATGGATCGGTGGTCATCTTATACACACTCATTACACAGATCTCATGCATCCGGTCAAATTAACACTTCATTTTTTTGAAATGGGATGCATCCTAGGACATTTTCTAGTTGATTTATGACAAAATCCAACTGAACACCACCATTTCGTGTTCATTTGGATTTTTCCGTGTTCATTTAAACGTGTGCCGTCTAAAGCACGTGTCCAATTGACAGGGTTTACAAACACACTGTGTGTGTGGGGGGGGGGGGGGGGCTTGTCAGATAATTTTTGAAAGTTGCCCACAGGCACTTGTTTCGATAATAAATTTTTTACACATAGCATAATAATAACACTATGGGTGAAACAATTTATTACAGAAACAAGTGCCTGTGAAGTTGCCCCCCACTTTTGGTCAGTTTATATGTTTTTTGGAGGGGATGTCAGATTTTTGGGGGAAGTCCCCCCATTTTGAAACCGTTGCTAGGGGCATGAAATATATATAGAGAGAGAGAGATTAATTTTAAAAGGTATAGTGAAAGGAAGTCATCTGTCACTTTTCTTCTTGATACCTTCACATTCCATTCTCTTGACAAAATACATCCTTTCCGACGGAAAATGAATAACTAGTGGAACGAGTTGATGATAGAAAGGCCTATAGTCACGTGGATGTCATGTGATCGCCCTGTGAACAATCAAAATGGACGCCCATGATAGAAAATGGGACTAAAATCTGTAATCGGGATTTCCCCCTTAAATATATATCTGAATTTCTAAATTAACTCAAAAAATGGAAAGACGTCCACTGCTTGGTGCCAGTGATGACGACAACTGTTCTGATGACCACGAGGATAGCGTTGAGAAGAATTTAACATTGTCTGAAAAAGAAATTGATGCAATTGTCACTGCAACAACAAAACAGGTTTAGCACTTAACAAAGTTAGTCTGAACTTATCAAAAATACGCCATATATGACTTTAAACTTTTGAGAAATTAGAGCAGAACAATTTTTCTTTCCCATGGTATGGGTATTTTACCACCAGAAGAGGATTAAGCCACCATTTGGTGGGCTGTGTCGAACCTGGAAATTCCTCCCCGACTCTAACCCATGGCCATGCTTTTATATGTTGACATGTCAAAATATGAAAGCAGGGGTTATAGTCAGAGGAATTTAGGAATAATGTTACCTGTAACTTCAACAAGATTCTTTTCTTGTCTAGACTTAGTATGACCTCATTATGTTCTTGTAATTGGACTAGAGTTAATTCAGAAATGCAGAGAGGGTCTTATACACCCCTTAAATGTTGAGTTGTATGGAATTTTAATGGTAAAGAAGCATTAAAATGATTCTGTACCTATAAAAAATTAGCTTATTTCTTTCAATACACAGTATATGTACCAATGTACCAGTTTGTAAGTAAACTTTTTTCCAGAATTTTACAAAGAGTCTTGCCTTATCCATAGCAGCATGTGTGTGTGGATCTTCTTTTATGTTGGGCTACAACACAGGAGTAGTCAATACCCCAGCAGCTGTAAGTTAACAATTTGTAGTATTGTAGTGCATTATTGCTAATAACTATGGCTGTTGAAAGACTGTAGAGGTGGTTTTAGATTACTCTTCCATTGATATTATGATTTACTAACAGTTTCAAATTAGAAATCTTTTACCATTCTTTTGATTTAGATGTCAAAGTAGAACTGTATATCTCTTCCATTTGATGTAGGTATTAAAAGATTTCTACAATGCAAGTTACCACAAGAGGTATGGAAATGATAATATAACAAGTACAACTGAATTCAACTTGACCTCCACTGGGTACCTCTCTCCCACAGAACTCTCAATCCTTTGGGCAACTACTGTGTCTATATTTGCATTTGGAGGGATGATTGGGGGGCTCAGTGCGGGATATTGGTGTAATAAGTATGGAAGGTATAATTTTTTTTTTTAATCCAATTAATGAAAATATTTTGGTGCTTTAAAGTTTAATAAGTATCTTTGCAGCTTTGCAAAAATCTACTTACCAGTAAAAATGTAAGAACTTCTTATATTAATATTTCAGGAAAGGGGCACTGTTGAGAAACAATCTTCTTCACTTGGTGGCTGCAGGGCTGATGTTCTCATTTCGTTATGTTTACTCCTTTGAAATGATGATAGCTGGTCGTTTATTGGTTGGCATATGTGCAGGTATTAGATTGTTTGTGTCTTGACAAAATTAAATCAAATCAAGATTGATTTGAGTAGAATAAGATTTTTTACTTTTTTTCATGTTGTTTGTATGAGCTTTTAGAATTGAGTTTAAGAAATCCACTTTAATAATGTGTAAATGTTTTGTTTTTTTTTTCCAAAAGTTCTATTAGAAGAATAACTTAAATACCTACAACCTATGATGATTTATTTCAATATTCTTTCATATTTAGTTGTTACAACTTCATTGATGATCATTGCAATAACATTTAAAACAAATTTTAAAACTTTATGAAAAATATTTTCAGGGATAAATTCTGGAGCAGCCCCTTTATACCTTTCAGAGATAGCCCCCACTTCTCTGAGGGGGTTTGCTGGGGTCTTCAATCAGCTGGCTATAACCTCAGGGGTACTGGTTGCTCAGATTCTGGGGCTGGATGTTGTCCTGGGGACCAAAGATCTATTTCATTATGTCTTAGGTAATTATTAGAAGTTGCTCTAGTGCAATTTACATGCACTGTTAAACTTTGATATTGGACGAATCTATAAAGATGACTAGAAGATGTATGTTTGAAGCATTATTTCGAAGTAGGTTAATTGGGTAGATTATTTAAGATAATTTATACAGCAATGTATCAATCTTACCAAAGGTGCCACAGTCATTCCAGTAGCCGTAATGTTGTGCTTGTTACCATGGTGCCCAGAATCTCCTCGCTTCCTGATGCTTGTGATGAAAGATGAAGATGAAGCTGAAAAAGGTTTACATAGTGTAAAATGAATAGTTAATATTGTGATTTATTAAGTTAGCCATTTCATCACTGAAATAAGAGACTACTTCAGAACTATGTATATACGTGCATTAACAATTCTGATGCTTTTTTTTGTTATGCTCTCACCTGACTGAAAGCAAGTTTGTGGTTATATAGACAATATAAATCTTTATTGTAACTACAGCTCTGATCTGGCTGAGAGCCACAGATGATGTTGGGGAGGAGTTAGAAGAGATGAGAAGTGAAGGAGAGAAACAAAAAAGAATGCCAAAGGTTAGAATGCAATAACTAATCATAGAAATTCCATTAATTTTATAATGTAGTAGATGTATTAGTGGATGACATTGAGTCCATTAATGATATATTTGTATCACTTTTATCATTAGTGGCTAAATTTTTACTTGCATTGTGTTAGACTTAACTATCAGATGATATTGTTATCCAATAATGATGTAATTCATGTCATTAGCAAAATCTTATAGCAGACACTGTATTTTTTAGTGGATAACATGGTGCTGGATAATAATTGATGAATGCATATAATCCACTAATGATAAATTATAGTATTAGTGGGTTTTTTTTAAATATTTGGTTAATAGCGGTTACTACAAATGTGGTAGTGTGTTATTAATGGCTTCCTACTAGCTTGGGTTGGTGGGTTAACCCTTTAGCTCAATCAGTAGAGCACTGAACTGGCATGCCAAAGGTCTGGGGTTCAATCCCAAGCAGAGGCACATACATGACTCTGTTACATTTGGCCAACGTTGGGACCCGGTTTTCTCTGGCAGATGAAAATGGTTGTCCCAAGAACTTCTCCCCACAGGTAGGGGCACTCCTTAATAGATGAGGACACCTCTTTCTCTGGAAGGTGACAATGTGATAGTGTGTTATTATGGCTTCCTACTAGTTTGGGTTGGTGGGTTATCCCTTTAGTTCAACCAGCAGAGCACTGGACTGGCATGCAATGGTCCAGGGTTCAATCCCAAGCACAGGCACATACATGCACATGTCTCTGTTACAATACCCCTACCCCTTTTCCCCCTTGTTAATTGGGATACACTCACATCAAGTCCGTGTTAAGGTCATCTGTTATGTGAAAATGTTGCTGCAATGTTTTATCTTAATTATTGTAATTTAGTTTGTGAACCAAGCAAATTTAGATTCTACAGTAAAATGAATATGGATATAGCAAATTTACAGATAAAGCAAAGTTTTGGGAAATCCCAAAATTCTTCACAATTCTTTGTAAAATGTTATGGTTAGAATGAACACAGATATGAAAAATTTACAGATATATGTCCCACAGAGGTTAAAATTAATGAAATTTACATCTTTTATAACAAATTTTTGAGATCTCAAAATTCAAAATATTGAACTGACATTATTTTTTGTAAGTATTTATATTTGAAATTCAATTCATCTGAAAATTTTCATGCTCCAAGGTAAGTTTTGTATTTAATACTTCCTGAACATATTTGATAGTCATACTTGAAGGAAAACATGTATATTGTGAATTCGCTATATATATTTTAATGAATCAGAGATATAATGAAGTATAATCACACGTCCCCAGGATGTCGCTATAATCAAGTTTTACTGTAATTTATTAATTTTTTTTTTTTTGTATTATGATTTTCAGTTTACATTTATGGATTTATTCCGTGACAAATTTCTCAGGGATCCACTGACAATCAGTGTAGTTTTACAGCTCACTCAACAGTTCAGTGGCATTAATGCTGTAAGTTTTCATTAATACTGTAAGTTTTCATTGATGCTTTAAGTTTCTGTTGTGAAATATGCATACATATAAACAGTAATTAAGTATTGTTTAAGATATTTTCCAAAGGTATCCATTTATGTTCACAATTGTAAACATGAATGGAAGAAAAGTGATCAAGCATAATTATAATTATAGATAGTTTTCATATGACGTATTTTCTCTCCGAGTTATTTCCCTTGGCCGCCATCTTGGTGGTCAACCTAGTAATTTTTCCTCTTTGTCTTACCAAGTCTAAGAGGGTGTAGCAGAAATATTTGGGGAAAGATCTTTATAGAATAAAAATGATGAAATAAAGGAGGCTTTCACAAATGTATATTTTTCAGAAAAACAATGCTTCCTACCCCACAATGGCCGTATAAAAAGTTAAAGTTGGTTGAATAATGAAGGAATATGAGCATGTTGACCTCCAATATGGCGGCCAACGGGAAATAACTCTTGCTAATTTGGGCCTACTGAAAACTATCTATTGAAAATTTATGGGTCATTTTTCTTCCATTTTTATTTTATTTAATTATGAGGGGCATGTTCTTAGCTATGCTGCTTTTTGCCAATATTTCAATTAGTTCCTACCTTGGATGTCCCAAACACTATTGAAATCTGTTTTATATTATGAAAATGACACATTTGATTTGTTTCTGAAACATCCTTTTGTTTTTCTTAGGTGATATATTACTCCACAGAAATTTTTCAAACAGCTGGGCTAAGCATACATGAAGCAGAATATGCTACCTTAGCAACAGGAGGGGTCAATGTGGCCATGACCTTTGTCTCTGCTTTCATTATGGATAAGGCTGGAAGACGTAGACTTCTATTAATAGGTGTTGGGGGATTATTTATATTCAGTTCCATTTTGGCACTTTCACTTATACTTATCAAAGTAAGTTTTTACTTACCTATACATTTATAACTTATCTTGTAAGAATATAGTAATTTACTATTAAATGCATGAATGTTTATATTTTCAAAGTGTGTATACTAGATACTGGTATTAAACATAGTTTTTAATAATTGTTTACATGAATATGTGTATTTATACAATGTGCATACTCTTTATATTTATGTAAACTTCTACTTGAAGGATGTAGGAATTTCTTGGATGTCCTATGTTGCCATAGTAGCTGTGATATGTTATATTGTCTCCTTTGCTTCTGGACCAGGTCAGTTGAAATGAAATCACCCTCTCTCTCTCTCTCTCTCTCTCTCTCTCTGTTGGAATGTTGGAAGTTTGACTACTGGTGGATCGGATAACTAAGATAAACAGAATTTTGTATGAAGATTATCCCCCTTAACACAAGCTGTTCATTTTGTGAATGAGTAAAAGATCAGATTATAGGTTGATGACCTTCAATTGTTTATAATGCAAGTATCCTGATACTAAATACTTAAGTAGACATCATTATACAGTATTTATGGAACGCCAGGACTGTCTTATATGAGGATTAAACATTATATGCAGTGTTCTCTTCATTATATGTGATACTATTTTAATTATATGAAGTAGATTTTACAGTATATCGTGTGCAACTTCCATTATATACAGTACTTCTTTCATTATATGATGTAGATATGTCATTTTATTATGTACATCTATCATTATATGAGGTGTTTTTATCATTATATGAAGTGCTTTTAACATTATATGCGGTAGATCTAACATTATATGCAGTGAACACACCAATATATTATGTACTTCTCACATTATATACAGTATATTCATCATTATATGTAGTATTTCTTTTATTATGATGATGCTGATCGTTAAATATTATGTCCGGTCCCGTTAGCATTCCGTGCGGTAGATTTTGCATTTCGTTATGATGTAGACACAGTATTATATGCGGTGCTTTCTTCTTTATGTGTATGATCTTTCGGAAGCTACCTTTCGGAACCCCCCTTGTTAGATCTAGAAAGTTCTACCTTTTTTCGTTCTTAGATATGAAAATTCTTAATGATTTTGGGTAATCTTTAATAATTGGTAATCAACCACACGTCAGCCAAAGCATCGCGGAATAATCACATACCACACAATATTTATCCCTATATTAAAGGAATTTCGAAGTCATATCAATACTTCAGTAGTTTACAAAGAGAGAGAGAGAGAGAGAGAGAGAGAGAGATGCACTTATTACAATGTATTACTGAAATAATTTTATTGTTCCATAGTATTAATTGTTAAACTATGGCGTATAAAAAAATTGCTGAAATTGTCTTTAGTTAAATACTATGTGAATGTTATGTAATGTATCAGGAAAAGATAAACGATTTTCAGAACAGAAAATGTTTTGAGTCGTGGGTTGTACTTCAAGATTTTACTTCTAAAAAAATATGTGGTAAAATTACCCAGTAATACAATATATATATATATATATATATATATATATATATATATATATATATATATATATATATATATATATATATATATATATATATATATATATATACATGTAAAGCACCCTCTACGAAATAAAATGAGAGATAAAAGGGTAATTTACATTGTGAAAAATTAGCACATCCCACCCCTAAAAAACAAACAAATAAGTAAACACATGTAGTGTTTTCTATAAGCCGTTGTTAAAGCCCTGCGTACTCGAAGGCGTAGGAATGCAGTTAGTTTTTTCAGGGGCGTCGGCAAAGGGGCGGCGATCGCCGCCCCGATAATTTTGAAAAAACACACACACACACACTCACACACACACACCCAACAAAAAAAAATGAAATGAAAAATGAAAGAAAAATAAATGAGAAAAACAAAATTACAACATTTGTAATGGCAATATCTGTGGTCAATGGAGCGGAGAAGTGTGAAAGCTATTGTTTACACAAACGCAAATTGGGATGTACGTGTACGTGTATAATTATATACCTGTACCTGGCGTTTGTAAACAATAAGCATTGTATCCATCGCTCTACGTGCAAGTTTGCTACAATTCTTCACCGCGTAATTCTTCACCAGGCCGACAGCTAGCAACGTTTTTGGAAATTCTATTTTTGGGGCGTGGGGACTCTCTAAATTGCCGGATTTTTTTTCTTTTCAATTCTTTTGGAATTTACCCGATTTCGACCTGACAGCAACAGAAAGTGTGTATGAAAGGAGGGGACAGCAGCGTCTAAGTTAGTGAATTTCTACATATCCAAACTTAAGCCAAAAAAAACCTATTCTCAGAAAAAGTGGAGAAATTGGTAAAAAAAAAAAAAAAATTAGAGCACCCCTTCCTGACACCTTCCCCTCGCGTGTAACAGGCCTGTTCATTGTCTAATGAATTGGTCTATCGATGTTTGGAAATCTTTGATGAATCGAAGTTGTAAGCTATTAAAATTAAAGCAATATACTAAAATACTGCGTAACAAATACTATTTAAAACAACTTCAGATGATTTTTTTTAATGTCATACACATTTCTGAATTTCAAAAATGTGTGGGGGGGGGGGATTATGAAGGATTAATCACCCTGTTCATTTTAAATTTAATAACTATGCATTCTTTCGCGAGTAACAATAAATATTATACAATAATAGAAAATTATATGTATTTTAATCTTTACCTAATAAACCTTTCAAAGTTCTTTCTATGCCGTTTCGGAAAAAAAAAAAACACTAGCGCCTGGCTAATTAAAAATATTTTGGTTTTTTTAATCTATAGTGCATATTACGAAAGCCTATTAGGATCAAACTACAGTAAAATATTTGAAAGGCGTTATAACGCGAAAAAAGGCGTAATAACACCTTTCCAAAAGGCGTTATAACGCGAAAAAAGGCGTTATTACGCCTTTCCAAAAGGCGTTATTACGCCTTTCCAAAAGGCGTTATTACGCCTTTCCAAAAGGCGTTATTACACCTTTCCAAAAGGCGTTATTACGCCTTTAAAAAAGGCGTTATTACGCCTTTCCAAAAGGCGTTATTACGCCTTTTAAAAAGGCGTTATTACGCCTTTCTTAAAGGCTTTATTACGCCTTTCCAAAAGGCGTTTTTACGCTTTTTCAAAAGGCGTTATTACGCTTTTTAAAGGGGTTATTACGCCTTTTTAAAAGGCATTAATACGCCTTTCAAAAAGGCGTTTTATGCCTGTTGAAGGGCCATTATTATGTCTTTGACAGGCCCGTGCTTTTAAAGGGGGGGGGGGGGGTCCCATAAAATTGACAAGCAAACAAAAAAACAAGAACCCCCCCCCCCCCCCCCCCCCCCCGAAAAAAATAAACTGCCTTTACTTGAGGGGAAACTTTTTCTAATTTTTCGTTAAAACTTTTTTTAAATGCACTGACTTGCCCGAGTTTAACCATACTGCAACAAAATGTTAAGGGACCAAGCAATCAATTAATGATTTTTTATATTTAAACTATAGCAAGACTATTCTCCCAAAAAGTGGGGTGGGGACCCCCCCCCCCCCACTCACATTCGTACTACCGGCCTGTTTGAAAAGGAGTTGTATCCTAAAATGGAAAGGCGTTATTTTAATATAGTAAATATATGAAAGATTGAACCAAAGCCATCTTTATTTATGCAATATTTAGATTATAGTTTTAATATTATAAATTATAGTATTTTCTATATTCCTGCACATCTCGCAGACAGTTGTTTGCATTTTGCATGCATATTAAGGACGTTCGATCCTGAGCTTTTGAGCAGATTTTGGTCTTGAGCTTTATTTCTAAAATTCTGCATTATTTTTAAGTTCTAACATTAAATCTGGATTCTACAATGCAAATTATACTATATCCAATGAAAAAACCGCAATTAAATTCCATTCAAATAGGATTAAGCCAGGAACTATATTTTGTGGCGGAAGGTTTTTTAGAAGAAAATGATCATTTTTTCCCTTTTGAAATATATACAGTACTGTTAAGTTTAGATTCCTATTTTTCCATGCTGGTTGCACACAGAGCTATTTTGTGCATTGAAATGTTTAATGCTGGTTCTAAAATATTAATTAAATCAGTTTTTTGTGATTTCTATCATCATATTGTGACAAATAAAGAAAATATATTCTGAAACTCCAGGAAAAAATTGAGCCAATTTTATCATAAAATTAACAGTTTTTTAGTAATATCTAAAAAATAACATCATAGACCTCCACTTCTGATTTTCTTTTCTGAATATATAAGATAACTCTGATCAATCTACTTAAATTCAGCAAAAGTTTAAGACTTAAGGTTAAGAAAGTTTAAAATATTTTTCTTGCTTGTTAAATTTTTAATGCCCGAAAAATGACATTTGTGAGTGCAGAAAGGTCAAATAATTGATTATGGGAAGCAATTTGAAATTATTTTTTTTTGGTCACAATTTTAATGTGTCTTTTTAAAGAGAGAATAATAGCATACTTTGGCCCATGATTTATTTGGATAAAAAATATTGGAGGGAAAACGTCGAAGATGTTATTTTTGATTAAGACACAAATTCAGTGCAAAAAGGTCATTTTAAATGTACTGTAGCGCCAAAAGAAGCATATTGACTCCCATTTTTTGTTTTGATTTTTAATTAAGCTATGTGTGTAGAAACTAAAAATATACATGTACTTGACAAAAAAAGTTTAAGACTTTAAATATCAGGATCCAACGTCGTTAAGAGAAGTCAACACTCTACTTTTGAAAATCCAGGATATAGGCAGAACCAGCTTTGGGCTTTGCTAGCCACGTATTAAAAATTCATGTCAAATTTGAAATATTTTTCTTTCCTCTAGGTAAAAAACAGGCAAAGTATTTGCATAGGTATAATGAGCAATTAGCCTTCAACAAAATCTCTGAAATCCATACACCTTGGTAGAAGCGTCTGGCATCAGAGAAGGACTAAGTTGGTTTAACACTGAAAATATTTTACACATTTAAAAATCTTTTTTCCTAGAAATCTAATTATAATCAGTCCCCAGGGTGGGCTAAGTAAGTCATGTATTGAAAAAAAGAGGCGTAATAACGCCTTTTTAAAAGGCGTAATAACGCTTTTTGGAAAGGCGTAATAACGCCTTTTAGAAAGGCGTAATAACGCCTTTTAGAAAGGCGTAATAACGCCTTTTTTCGCGTTATAACGCCTTTTAAAAAGGCGTTATAACGCCTTTTAAATTTTTTTTTTACCGTAGTTTGATCCTAATAGGCTTTCGTAGCATATAACTTAATTCACATAGAACATTTTTTTTTTGGTTGCATGTTTAATTGTTCTTTATTAATCAGAAAATAAGAATATCAAGATTTTGGCTGAAGTTTATTTTAGTTGGTTAGGACCCCCCCCTTTCGATCCCGTTCGCCTCCCCAATGTCAAATTCTTGCCGACGCCCCTGTTTTTTTAATTATCTTTTTTGACATTGATTGTCCTATATATGATATGAATCTTTTTGAAAGTCTTATTGTTCACAAAAAAGAAAAAAAATGCCTCAAATTTTTTTCCACTCCCAAAATATTTCTATCAACCCCCCCCCCCCCCCTCGTTACTTCATACCATGAAATAGAATGGATTTTATTTTACTCTATTACCCTATACTTCATATCTTTAAAAAAACATTCTAACCTGTTCACGGAGCATTAATTGTTATATACGCATGCTTTTATTGTACTGAATTCAACAGGAAAGGTCGGAGTTCTCAAGGTACCGAATTTTTAACAGAGAGTTCCGAAAGGTAGCTTCCGAAAGATCATACACATAAAGAAGAAAGCACCGCATATAATACTGTGTCTACATCATAACGAAATGCAAAATCTACCGCACGGAATGCTAACGGGACCGGACATAATATTTAACGATCAGCATCATCATAATAAAAGAAATACTACATATATTGATGAATATACTGTATATAATGTGAGAAGTACATAATATATTGGTGTGTTCACTGCATATAATGTTAGATCTACCGCATATAATGTTAAAAGCACTTCATATAATGATAAAAACACCTCATATAATGATAGATGTACATATTATAATGACATATCTACATCATATAATGAAAGAAGTACTGTATATAATGGAAGTTGCACACGATATACTGTAAAAACTACTTCATATAATTAAAATAATACCACATATAATGAAGAGAACACTGCATATAATGTTTAATCCTCATATAAGACAGTCCCGGCATTCCATAAGTATTAAATATAAATTGTATATAATGATCATACAAGACATCTATATATACATACAAACATTCATATAAATAGTGTAGATTATCCAAACCAGGATACAGAATGCCCATTGTATAAGATTATGAAGTATTCTGTCACCCTTAGCCAGAAAAATTACTCTGTTGCACAGAGTTATTTGACTTGTTTATATTTCGTATCAGAAACTTTAAAATAAGATTTATATTAAGTATTCATTCATACAAGATTATTTATCTGCATCTGTTGACAACATTGTGATGAAATTTCAATTTCAGCAGTAATCGCTAACAAAATAATTTTATTTGGAGATAAGAGTTAAATCATCCCTGCACTATATTTTAACTCATCATTAATCAATGATGTTGATGATTTTTATTCCCCTGTAATCAAAGATTTGGGGACATAAAGTTTTTTCTCTGTTTCGTCTGTCTGTCTGTTTGTCTGCCAAAACTTTAACCTTGCCCATAACTTTTGATTGGCTGGAGATGTATTCCTTGGGATAAGACCTTCCCTTGGTTACCAGCAGTTGTGACCTTTTGTCTTTGACCTTGGAGTATGACTTACTTTAGAAAAATTTTAACCTTGGGCATGACTTTTGAATGGTTGATGATAGAGCTTTCAAATTTCATCGTTTTCCTTGTGACAAGACCTTCCCTTGGGCATCATTTATTTAGACCCTTGACCTTGGAGTTTGACTTATTTTTGAAAAATTTTAACCTTGGCCATAACTTTTGAATGGTTGGTGCTAGGGCTTTCATATTATTGTGACAAGACTTTCCCTTTGGTACCAACAGTTTTGACCTTTTGTATTTGACCTTGGAGTGTACAACATACTTTTGAAAAACTTTAACCTTGGCCATGACTTTTGAATTGTTGGTGCTAGGGCTTTCATACTCAGCATTTGTTTTCCTCGCGACAAGACCTCCCCTTGGGAATCATTTATTTTTGACCATGACCTTGCATGGAGTTTGACTTACTTTTGAAAAACTTTAACCTTGGCCATAACTTTTGAATGGTTGGTGCTTGGGCTTTCATATTTCACAAGTGTATTCCTTGTAACAAGACCTTTCTCTGTTTTCCAATATTTTTATCTCTTGATTTTGGAGTTTGACCTGCATTTGAGAAATTTTAACCTTCGTCTTGATCTGCCGTACGGGGACATCAGTGTCACAAACACATCTTGTTTTTTTCTTTAAATAAATTTATAGTTATGAATATGTACAATCAGACCTATTTTGACAGGTTCTATTCCCTGGTTTATGGTGGCGGAGATTTTTTCTCAGGGTCCGCGATCAGCAGCAGTCTCTGTGTCCACCATGGTTAACTGGTTCTCCAACTTCACAGTTGGACTGGTATTTCCTATATTGAATGTTAGTATTTTCTGCTGTTATCTCCCATCTCCACTAAAATGAATATTATTTCATATGCTTAAATGTAATTGTTATTAATATATTAAGTATATAATTAGCTTAAAAATCTTGTAAATTATAAGGAAAAAGTTTAAGAGTGAAATAATTATACCCCGCTCCAAAGGAGGGGGGGTATACTGTTTTACCCTTGTGTGTCTGTCTGTCTGTCCGTCTGTCTGTCTAGCTGTCCATCTGTCTGTCCGTAACAAATTTTGGTCGCAGTTTTCTCAGCAATTACTCATCGCTGATGCTTGAAATTTTTGCACACTCTTTGTTTGGGCATGCCATATGGTGGGATTCATTTTTGTTAGAATCCAACCTCAACTTCCTGTTTATCCGTGTGTCTGTCCGTACCATACATAACAAATTTTAGTCGCAGTTTTCTCAGCAACTATTCATCGCAGATGCTTGAAATTTAAGCACACTCTTTGTTTAGGCATGCCATATGATGGGATTCATTTTTGTTAGAATCCAACCTCAACTTCCTGTTTATCCATGTGTCTGTCCGTACCATACATAACAAATTTTGGTCACAGTTTTCTCAGCAACTATTCATCGCAGATGCTTGAAATTTAAGCACACTCTTTGTTTAGGCATGCCATATGGTGGGATTTATTTTTGTGAGAATCCGACGTCAACTTCCTGTTTATCCGTTTGTCTGTCCGTACCATACATAACAAATTTTGGTCGCAGTATTCTCAGCAATTACTCATCGCTGATGCTTGAAATTTTAGCACACTCTTTGTTTAGGCATGCCATATGGTGGGATTCATTTTTGTGAGAATCCGACGTCAACTTCCTGTTTATTCATGCGTTTGTCCATACCATACATAACAAATTTTAATCGCAGTTTTCTCGGCAACTATTCATCGCAGATGCTTGAAATTTAAGCACACTCTTTGTTTAGGCATGCCATATGGTGGGATTCATTTTTGTGAGAATCCGACGTCAACTTCTTGTTTATCCATGCGTCTCTCCGTACCATACATTATAAATTTTGGTTGCAGATTTCTCCTTTTTGCAGATGCTTGAAAGTTTATTGCACTCATTGTTTATGCATGTCATATGGTGGGATTCATTTTTGTATGAATCTGATGTCAACTTCTTGTTTATCCCTGTGTCCATCCAAAAAAAAAATTGTGCATTCACATCAGAGCAGGGGTATTATTAGTGAGCATTGGCTCACAGACTTCTTGTTTAAGGTGTCGTTTAAATGTATAATTAGATTAAAAGTAATGGAGGCCAAATTTACTCCCACTTGCTTTTACTGTAATCTTACATTGCCTTTTGTTTGTTTTGTAGGAGTTGCTGATCCATCAATATTCCTTCCTCCCATTTGTGGTGCTACTGTTTGTTTTCTTAATCTTCATTTACAGAAGAGTTCCAGAAACAAAAGGAAAAACAATTGAAGAAATATCATTATTATTTATTAAGCCTGAAATGGTTGAATATGAGAAGATTATTCAAAAGGATTCTGGCCTTCCAGACTATACCAGATTACAAAATAAAGACTCCTCAGATGATTCATAAAACATTTATCATTTTTTAAATCTTGTCAATTTTACACCTTGATAAATATAAGTGAAATTCAGATTTTATATTATTGTAATTATAAATCTTATTATGTTATTAGACAAGAAAACTCTTTTTTTACATTTTGTGACTGTTGATGGATATTTTGTGTTGATCTCAGGTGTACATGCATGTTTTAATGCAGTGTGAAAAAATTTCCATGCATGATTTAAAATTTGTACTCCACTTTATTTAAATCATGTACACTGTAATATGTTTTGGGGGGTTTGAATATATGTGAAAAAATTCCCAATTCCAATGTACAAATCCAAATTTGTTGAACTTCCATTACAAGATACTAACTGCTACCTACGGACAGAGTATCAGTGTATTTTTGTAACTTTATTTTACAATAAAGATGGATTACAGTGAACATTAATGGCATAGAAATGTAATTTTTTTTTTTGGGGGGGGGGGGGGGTAAAGTTGTTTGATTATGTATATCTGTCAAATTCATAAGACTGGATGTTTCAATGCAGAATAATTTTAATATTTTTAACATGAAGAGTAAAAATATTATGAAATGACATATTTTATATGTGATGAATCCAAGAGAGTGTGAATGGAGATTTCTATTCCAATAAAAAAAAAATCTCTTGATTATTTTAATCACTGTTAAATTGCAAGCAAAGATAATGGTTGATAAATGTTTCTTTTGAATTTGAAAAGGAATCTACATTTTACCTAGATCCATGGTCTTGAACATGAAATTAACATCCATAGGACATTTCGTTCTACTGTCACATTGCTTTACACTATTATCCACTTGTGACCTTTTCAAATATGTTTGTTCAATTCTATTGTACTCTACAGCAATACCCATAGGTATTTTTGATATCTGTTATCCATATATGTGTACTTGTACATTGCAATAACGTATTGATGCATTTAACAAATTATTTACCCATCTTTAAAGTTGTGAAATCAGAAAGCCAAAAATTTAGTTATATCACTATTAATATTTAAGGTTCAACATAATAATATACATTCCTCTGTTAACTTGTATAAAAAATTGCTTTAATTTAATGATTTTCTGAAAGAATTCTAATTTCATTAGTAAAATGCACACAATTTCAGCCAACCTTCAGGGCAAAATTTGAAAATTGTCTTTTAAGGAGACAATTGTAGAAAGGATCCAAGTGAGAGTTATGTCCCTTGTCAGAGGATCAATGAACCTTAAGCTTTAAATAAACATTCCAGGGAATTGGTATAGAATGACATTGTTCACCACATTTAGTGCATTTTGTCCTTTTCTACTAAAAATTGCATTTAAAGCTAATGTGATATTCTGCATATGTAGTGTATTTTTGGTGAAAATGTACAATATTTGGGGTTTGATAGGTAGATAAATTGAACATGATTTAAGTTTTTTGGTGGGCATATAGACAGGTTGTCTTTATCTAAAAGTGGCATTATACTCGCAAAATAATTGTTATTTTTCAATTATAAATAACCAGTATTTATTTCATTGATTTATAAACTGTTTCCTTTGGTATGTGTATTGTATTTAAGTTATATTTTGCTCAGAATCATATGAATATAAAGCATTCAATTTGTCTTATATTAGGTATAATTGGTGATTTTGGGGCTTGGATGTTTTGCAAAACTAGTTGCTTGGTCATATATATGCATTGTATTTTGCCATCAGAAGTTTTTCATATGATCCAGAAAATGTGTGATTACAGTACTACTACATGTACTACTAACAATAATCAATTCATAATAAAGCTCTGAACTACAAAGTGAAACATCACCATAAAAAAAAACCTCCCTCCCAAAAGCTGTGGCAAGATTGTGCCACTTTGTTAATATGTTAAAAATGAATCAGCAGTGTTTTTATTTAAAAATGTAGAATATTTTGTGCAATATGTTTTAAATAAAAGTAAACAGAAAATCAAGATGTCTTCAGATGTATATTTCTTGTGAAAGATGATGAAGGAGGAGATAACTTGTGAATAGATTCATACATGCTGAATTGAACCATTATTTACAAATCATAAATTTAATTCAGAGATTCAGAAACAGCTGACGTTACATTGTGTTTGATACTTATATGGATGTTGGTCAGTGTACTCGGACAAACAGGTGATAAGTATATATAATGGGGTCACCTTCTTCCTGGGGATGAAGTGGGTATTGCACGTACTTACATGACTTGTTTACAAGGAGATTTGCTTAAAACTGGGACTCTCGTGACTTCAGATTTGTGGAATTTAATTCATAAATTTCATGTAAACAAGATATTGACTTAGACTGGTCTTTATTCTTATACATGTAAAATGTTTTGTGAAGTTTGTGACATATTGGTATACATCCTTGAGTTACTGAAAGATGTCCACTTTTTAACTTAGCAAATAAATTTAATTCCTACAACAACAACAACAACAACCCTCCCCCGTCCCATCAACATCCCTTCCACACCATCTTTAATATTGTAATTTTATTCTCATACATATAAAATGGGACCTTTGCGGTAATCTGGTAATGGTTGGTTTAGAAAACGGAAGTCGTGTATCGCAGTGGGCGTTAGCACGATAAAGACCCACGAGCCATGCCATACATTGGTCAGGTATAGTTGGCAAGCGAGGTCTTACATGAGTTAAAAATTCTAGAATCATATGCCAATCAATTAAATGGGCAAACATTTATGGCTATAAATACTAGCCGCATAATTACGGTTCACTGAAACTAGTTTTAGCTAAACCATATTTTATTTGAAAATGACAAGCAGAAGTACAGAAAATCAAAAAGGATTCGGAAACAAGTTTTAAAAACTAGATTTGGTTTGCCAAGCTTAGCGACGTATACTAAGGGCCAGTCTGCACTGTGCAATGAAAATGTAAATTTTAGTAGCAGTAAAGATCTAGAACTTTATAGTGTACAACTTTTCTTTTAAATATCTTTATGGAAATTATACAAAATATTATGCAAATAGAAAGAGTTTTATTGCGAAGAATGGTTAACTTTGACTTAGAATTGTTACAAATAATTCTGACACTGTCTTTATTTCCTCTTCCAAAACCAGCGTATCGCGAAGAACCACATTACTTTAGTACTTTTAGCCTATTTCATCTCGTTTTAGTAAATTGCCAAATTTTAGTTTAAGTAGCACAACCAAAAATATGATATTCTAGTTAGAGTTTTCTGGAAATTTGAAACTGGATATGAAACTCTTGTTTTCGAGTTCTTAAATCGCGATTTCGGAAAAAATAAAAACAAACAAACAAACATCATAAGTGTAGTACGTGTTGCAGTAAATTTAGTTTTCTGGGAAAACTTTCTTTAAATTTAATCTTAAGACGAAATTACATTATAATAAACTATAGTTTTTATACAGAAAAAAAACAACAACATGGACAACGATGCTCCCTGCTCCTCTTTCAAAAATGTTGTGCACAAATCCCCAACCCCCTCCAGTGACTACACCTTTATTTAATATTGAAAAAAATATTTTGCACATTTTTGCAAAAATGTGTCATAATGCATATTTAGTCATAAATCTCGAGAAAGAATGGCGGAGTTTTTTTAAAGTAAGTTTTAACAAGCAAGTTATTATAATAATGTAGTTTTAACCAAATGCAAAATGCTTGCTTGGTTTCAAATCTGAACGAAAATTTTAACGAAGAAAAAATATTTTTTAAGTATTGACTGTTGTTTATTTGTTGATAGAAAAGATTGATGCTGTAAGAAATGAGGATGAATTTCTCGCCATTCAGGATGCGTTTGTAACCTGCCCTAACACTTGTCACGTTGTACAGGACGTATCAAAAATTTTTAATTTTAGTTGCATGATAATTCCTTTTTGAACAGTTGAAATTCTTAAAAATACTCCAATCAAGAGAGGAAAAAATGCATTGAAGCTTCATTGAAAATCATAGTACATTAATATGAAAATAATGAAATCAATTATAGGTCTCCCTATTAATGTGAATTTTGATTTCGTCTATCAGTCGTCAATATGACGCACTTTTGATGTAACCTGTATACATGCATATAAATATATGAAGTATTAAGATGTCATGATTGATTGAAATTGTGATCTATAATTAATATGGATACTTTTTTCTTTTCGAGTCTTGCCCTTCTTGTGCAGGTAACTACAGTTCTGATTTGAATTATAACCATCTGTTTTTCACTTTTTTATTGAAAACTTTGCACATTTATGTATCCTTGTTTAATTAAGGTTTAAATATGAATGGATAGTTCAAATCCATTAAATTGATAGTAGTTTTAGAAGGTTTTGAGTGAATGACGACGTTATGACATATTTCATTATTTTGTGTTCGTTTTGATTATTTTGCCTCTGTTTCTGTAACTTATAGTAAATGAAACTAATTTCGACCTATTTTGCCTTGAGAAATTACAGGATACCTTTATACAGATTAACCCACTTACGTGAACTTTACAGTCATAGATTTTAGACATCGCTATGCATGTAATCAGAAATCATTATATTTTATTTTTATTTCAAAAAAAGTACAAATAAATAAACAAATCCTAAACAAGTATGCACATTTTCCTTTTTTTCACTGTTGAATATAAAGTTGTTACCAAAATATATTTAGTACACCGCAATGAATTGTCACAGACCACGGATTATTTATTTAATATCAACTTTGAAATTTAAAAAAATCGGTTTCCAAACGCATTTCAAATATGAATAAATTCTGAATCTGATAAAATGCAAGTGTATCTAATTTGAGGTACAATCCCCCCCCCCCCCCGCCCCAAAAAAATCTACATGCATGGGAGTAAAGTTTATGCATAAACGCAAAATAAAATACAATGTATATGTACCTTGTTGTATTGTTCACAAACATTTCAAGTGACATGTCTTGTAAATTTGTATATAAATCAATGGAGAAAAACCCCAGCCAAAATTGTGGTTATTTTGAAAATTTGTAATATTTAAAGCACCAGATTACCTGGGAAGAAAGGAAGATTACAGATTGCAACTTCGCATAAGTATAATAAATAAGCTTGAGAAATACACTACTGCAGAAATTCATTCAGGTATGAATATTATTTACAACAGGTTCAATGCGATAGTAAAATGTGGATGTCCAGTACGTTTCACTTGTTCATCGAAATGGTGTCATACGGGGGGGGGGGGGGGAGGAGGAGGGGAGGGGTGTTATTCGAGGTCTTTCGATAGTATTTTATTGAAATATTTCTTTACCTACTTGCTCGTATAATACAGGTACCCCAAAGTACATGTACGTTTCGAAATAAGTGATTTTCTTGAGTAAGTAATTTTTTTACGAACCTGAACCAAATTTTACTTACTCACGTCATATTGTCTAAAGTATGTAAAAATACGGGTCATATAACTTCAAATTTTGTTAAATTATTATCAGAAAGAAAAATTACGCTAGAGGGGTTGGGAACTTGGGAGGGGGAGCTAGTCATTTCTCTCTCATTTTTTTTAAATTCAATTAAAGTTTTTTAAGGTCTACCTGATTTCAAACATCGGAACACAAATACTTTAGTAATTTCAAAATTAGAAAAAGAATGTTAAATATAGTCTCCATGAAATGAAATGTGTTAAAGATGATGATTCGTGAACAAGGAGTTCTCGGCACATGCTTGTACACTGTTTACGTTCATCATGCAATGTTTTAATTTTTCTAGCTTCTGAATCTAATGCCCATAAATGGAGATAGTGTAGTGATATTGTTATGAAGAAAAGACAGGAAAATCTTTGATTATAGACAACATACTATAATAATGTCGGATATGCATGTGGTTCTTAAAACAATGTACACGGTATCTGTGTCATGTCTGCTTCACTTACACGTACTTAACACGTGAATCCATTTAACAGCGGCGAAATAAAACAATCATAATATTTTATGGTCTAAAAAGAAAGAAGTTTGACAAAAGCACTATTTCATGACTTAAATTACTAGTATACAGACCACAGGTCTTTACTACTGGAAAGGGGGGGGGGGAGGGGGTAACGGGTAATTTAGCATGGAAATAACACTGACACCAGTTTTTGTTGCAGTAAGATCGAACCCTCCATGTTATGATACTCAAATATTTTTTTTATCCCCACCCCCTAACCTAAATAGGTTTTCAAGTTTAAACAGTATCAGTTTTCATCTTGTAATTTTTATTTTATTTTATTTTGTTTCATTTATTTAATATTAGTATTAATTATTATTATCATTAACTTTTTTTCTCAACCCCCCTCCCTCCTTGAAAAACAATGCCGTGCTTGGACCAGTTTTACTACCAACGATATATAAGATGTCGTCATCATAACCATAGTGTATCTTACTATCTCGAACTGCAATACGTAAAATATGTTACAGCAAACAGGAATCATACGCACACACTATGATGTTGAATGTGGTACGAAATAAGTGATTTACACGTCAAAGGCTAATTCGGTTCCTTTCCTACTGAAGATATTAATACCTCCCAGTCTTTTAAGTAGTGAACATTTTGATTCTTAACATATTATATTACCTATGAGGAATTTGAAATTGATGTACTGGTCTTCGGAGAAGCTATAGATTCGTAGCAAGGCCTACCGTTAGTGACACATACAGTAAAAAAGTTGTAGAGCAACATTAAACCAAAATCATATTATTATGTTCCCCAAACAAAAAACAAGTTTGGAAGGATATTGATTTTACTCTGTTTCTTAACTGGTGCTCCTTTAACAACTTGTCAAAACTGACTTTTATTGCACTTGACCAATGCAATGAGTATTTGAAAGAAAAGAGTTTGTTTGACACGTTTGTTTTTAAATTACATTAATATAAACTTTTGCTTATTTTATATCAAAAGAAAGTCAGGAGGTGAATAAGGGGGGGGGGGGGGGGGGGGGTAAGGAAGAGAGCGTGTTTTGAAGTTTGAGATATAGACACTGCTCATGTATATTGGAGATATAAATTTGCTTAGAAATACCCTTTATGTATCAATAAACATTTCACTACCACCAAAAGATGATTTTTAAAATGATAAATCTTTTTTTTTTTATTTTTTGCTGTAGGTAATAAGTCACGTGACAACATCACCTATTGATAAATTGATCACAAACGCTGCAGTTGAAAGTGAGTAGATTTTGTTTTGTTTTTAAATTGATATTACAAATGAAAAATGTAACCAGAACCTTCTATTTTTGACAACTATGTCAGTAACTGATCACCTACAGTAATATTCTCATTAGTTAATCGTTCATATTTATAAACAAACGGTAAAAATTGACATTTTCCCTCTTGTTTCAGCTACTTCTTTTGACATTGTTGCGAATGCAAGCACAAAGACCCTCCGTTTGGAGCTTGATATTTTAGTCGATCTGGACGACTATGTGGACACACAAAAAAAAATGTGAGTGTTTGTTACAGTAAAGTAGGTCATCACAGTAAAGTAGGTCATCACAATAAAGTAGGTCTTATATATTCAGGGGAACGGAGTCGCTTCTTTTACATTTTTGCCAAAATCTTAAATTGTAAATGAATTGGCGGATATAGAAGAAGAGAGGACATGATATGGTTTAGAATCCAAACTAGACCAAAAAAACATCAAAGATCAATTATACAGGAACTAACAAAAGCGAAACAAAATCATTCCTCAGTACATGCTTAATTAATGTTTCCTAAACATCTTGTTCCACTGTTTTCAGCATTTTAGAAAGTGGAAGAAGAAAGAAAAGGAAAGCGACTAGAAACACGAGAAAACGCTGGCCAAATAAAGTGATTCCTTACATCATCACAAATGATTTCAGTAAGAAGTTCGCAATACTGTACGTGTAAATAAATTTGCATATTCAAAATTTAACGCAATCACTGGGTATGGATTTGTTGGCGAAATCATGAATTAGCGTTATACATGTCCGTGGCGTATATTGTATTCATAAATAATTCCTTAGCGGTATTCATGAATTAGCGCATTGTTGTCTGCGCCAAAGCCGCTAAAATATGAAGCCCGCTTTTTTAAGTACACATACAGCATCTGCATGTAAATATATATTAGATTTTGCATCCTCGAACACCGATAACATAATATTTATTTCTGTAAGAGAGGTTTGTCTTTTAAATTCTTCTGAATAACTTTTACTGGAAAACAAAACATTTTTATATATAAAAGATAAAAAGCTGGTGTATGAAAAAAAAAACAGCTCAAGAAGGTATGGACAATTGTAATTTGCTGGTTAAAATTTCATTCATTTTTCGGCTAGTAATTGCTGCATTCACATATTCATGAAATGAAACAAAATTATGAAATTAAAATCTTGCCTGTAGAAAACACTACACAATAATGAACTTTCTTGTTTTATACATAAAAAGTACCAGTACCTGAATGTTCTTATGAATCTTATTGAATATCTTTAGCAAGTATGAAATGTTGATGCCCTTAATTGTGTTGCCTCCAAGACTTCGATATCTGTAATTTTGTTTTAGGTGCTGCGGATAGGATACAAATTAAAGCTGCCGTGGACGAATGGAACAAATACACATGTCTGACCATCAGGGAAGCCACGCCCTCTGACGTCAACAAAGTCCGATTCCAGAACGGAAATGGGTATATTGAATTCGTAATTTTTAGACAAAGTAAGATGAGAATGCTTATATAAAGTGTTCGATGATAAATATACAGAACTATAAAGGACGAATACTGATACACTTTCTAAAAAAAGTGTTTTGCTACCAAATACAGTGTATGAACCCGGTATACGTGTAATAAATTCTGTACAGGAGTTTTTTAATATTAATTGTCATATTTCAGGTGTTCGTCTTATATTGGTATGGTTAAAGGAGAACAGGAACTAAATCTAGGAAGGAACTGCCGAGTTGTAAGTCATTTGATGTTCTAAGAGGAATATCTGTATGGGGGGGGGGGGGGGGTAAGGTGTTGAGTACTCAATTATTGCTAATTACTGTGGAAGAACACCGAAGCAGTAAAATGATATATTCAATAGTCATATTGTGATGGAAATCCAAGCAGTAAATTATTGTTCTAGAGTATTGTTACTGAAAACAGTGTTTGCTGTTTATTTATTTGATTGTTGAAGGTATTATGAAATATGGAGATAACGAATAGTAATCAAGCTCAAAAGTCCATTGCAACAATACAAATCGGGAGCAGAGCAAACACGGAACTCTAAAAGACATCAGGGGGGATCATGGGCCATGGAGGAGTAATTATCCCCTGTCGACCGGTCACACCCGTCGGGCAAACGGAAAAATCCGTAGACAATTCAGTGTTTAAATAATGGCCTAACAATTAGTATGAAAAACGTAAGTCAGCATTCGACTTAATGATAGATTGTATTTGCTGACAAGATCATTGTATCGACCATAAAACTTGCGAATTGATGACTTTAAACAAGACTTTTGGTATCCTTGTTTCATCAACTTGTTTGTCAATAGCTTGTCTCGTTTTAGAAATTGTTTGTACGTGGAGAATGCTCTTGTGTATCGAATCAATTGTGAGATATAAACCATATATGCAGGTGATAAGGATAAATTGCCACATAAGTAAGGGGAGTTGACGATAGAAAAGTTGAAGTCATCAAGTTTATCATATAGTTTGGTTGTTAAGTTACCACTTTAGTCTTTTTCTAGTAAATTAACGTAGGTCGCGGGTTTGCTGACGTCATTAAAACTGGGTACGCAATTTATATGGTTTGGGCGACTTTCTTGTGCACATTTGATTATGACGTCACACTGAAAAAGAAATTTCAGTACATCATTATCTAGCTGTAACTTTTGTTGGAATTGGTATTTTATTGTTATATTATTTAAGGCACAACTTATCACAAATAATGAAGGCTTTTTACGATTTGAATAGTCGATACAATATTTAGATATAACTTTTGTTGGAAATGGTACTTTAGTGTAGTATTATTTATAGAACAAACTGAAGTTATCAAATATAATGAAGGGTTATTACGATTCGAATCCAACATTGGAAGTATTAGAAAGCGTTTCATTATGTGTTACCAATCGCATCCCGGAGAGCTCGGAAAGGTCTGCGAAATTGCGATTGATTAGATATCACATGGTATCGCGACACGATATGGGCACAAGTTTCAACTGACCTCTTTTCCTTTGAACGTATTTGAATTAACAGTTTGTTTAATTAATAAAGAAATCATTATATAAACAATCGTAAATTCACCTATTACATTAAAAGTTTAATCTTTATTTTTAAAAGGACATTTTAAAAATATATTTAAAGGTTTATCACAAATCAAAAACTGTTAAGGTACTATGAAACATAAACTAATATATTTTTTGAGCGACACTGACCTCCTGTAAGTAAACACAGGCACTTGGGATATGGATTCCCCCTTTCCACTTTTTTTTCTCTTTAAATCTGGGGTCGAGTCACCTTTTCCCTATTTTTGTATTCTAATACCGACAATTAACCCTTAGGCCGTAGAGATGCCCTTAGATGCGGGTGATTTAATCGAAATATTTACTAATCGGGGGCACATGCATGGAAATTAAATGGAAGTATGAAACGGAAGAAGAATGTGTAAAAAAAAAAAATATTGATGTCTGCATATTTCATGTTTTCTTATGCTTTAGATAAAAAATCATGCGAAGTTTAAGTTTAAGAAGTGAGTTAAACGACGAGAAAATCTCTCTTTTTATGTATCAGTCGAAAACGATAAATTTAAAAACAGCTTAAAGAGACAAAGGGGTTACATTATTGATAACATATAGTACATATTAGAATTCAAAAATAGGAAAACGGTGACTCGACCCCAGATTTAAAAAGAAAAAAAATGAAAGGGAGCATTTTTATGTATCAGTTGAAAACGATATATTTAAAAGCAGCTTATAGAGACAAAAGGGTTACATTATTGATAACATATAGTACATATTAGAATTCAAAAATAAGAAAACGGCGACTCGACCCCAGATTTAAAAAAAAATGGAAGGGGGGGGGGGGGCGGTCAATACCCCAAGTGCCTGTGTAAGTAACGGCTAACAATGTTGTTATCTAAGGATTATATTCGCTACTTTGCAACATTGCAACGGATTTTATTCGCTACTTTGCTTTCCATGTCCAACCAGTCGAATTAATGTTATATACATTGAAAGTCTTTTGACCCCCCCCCCCCCCAAAAAAAAACTGCCTGTTGATTACGTCAGATAAAATTAATTTTTAGATTCTCGTCCCATTTACCCCTCTGAAAATGTCTCGTTCGTTTTTGTTTTTTTTTAATTCTTATACGTATAATCATAAAATCAAGTTCAGATTTTTTTGAGTTATCCCCTGTCTGTATGTAAAAATAAATAAAAACATTTTTTCAATATATGCTGAAAATAAAATGTATTTACCCGGGACGATATTTGGCGGAAACTCATTCATTAAAAAGTTATCGTAGCTATGAGCGCATTGGTGAATGTTTTAAATAAAAACATTTCATATGTATACTTGAATAAGAGGATAACCGTTTTCCGCCAGCACGCTGAAAAAATACACAGCCAAATGTAGGATACTTATCTACGAAAAATAAAATAAAATAAAACATAACAAAAAGAAAAGAAACGGTAAGTAAGCAACGCATAAAGAAAATACATTGAAAGAAAGAAACTAAAGGGCTGATTGTCGTTTTACGTCCCTTGAGATAATTTTTACTAATATGAGACGTACAAAGAATATAAGATGAGATACATGTCTAATAATCATTTCATTGCTATTGAATTATTATGTTACGATTCTTGGGTCATATGAAAGCAGATAGAATTGACTTAAAAATATTTTAATTTGTTTTTCTGCTCTGTATACCGGATCGATATTCACGACGTCAAGCGTGACGTCGCGATATTTTATGACGTAGTTCTTAAAAATGTTAAATTTTGCGATATAAAAGCAATTATCTGCATTTAAATTACGAAAAAACAAACCCGAAGACATATTAATTTTTTCACATAGATTTATTTCAAATCAATTCTATTTTAAGATACCAAAGGGGGGGGGGGCAATTTCGTCTGCACCATTTTAAAGTTAATGATATTTTTTGAAAATAAATCTTGCCTGAAAACGAGCCGAAATCGACGTTTTTCCTATATAATTCAATACAATAACGTCGAAAATGTTACTACAACAATGGCATCTTTGGGATTTAATTACATAAAAACGATGCAGACGAATTTTATAAAATTTTCAGAGAATGTAAAACAAAGGTAGAGGAATCATATAACTAATTTTCATGGTATGTTTTCGGACACTTTTAAAAGGCCTGCAAACCCGCGACCTACGTTAAATAACCAAATATGTGACGGGAGTGTCAGACTCTGTGGTATTTTTTTTTTTATTTCAAGTTCACTGGGATAGATCGAGTCGACATATGAATGGAATTAACTATTGTTAATTGATAATTCGTCGATATACATCTAAATGTCAAGTTGAAGACCACAGCAAGTGTCTTCTTCCTCTATTGTTTGCTAAGTAAAGTAAGTTACTTGTCAGTTGACAGATCAGTAAGCTACAGATTATTTACTAAGACAAGTTATTCATCATTAAAAAGTTAATATAAATACATGTAAGTTACTATTGTTTGTCAGTTTACTGATCAGTATGTTACTGACTATTTGCAGAGACGTAATTTATTTATTATTAAAGTTATCACTGTTTGCTAAGTGTAGTAAGTTACTGAATAGATTATTTGCTGAGAGTAAGTTCAGGGTTCTCATTAACGCAAGAATCTGCGTCCTAGACGCAGCAAAATTACTTGGGACGCAAGGTTTTTAAAAACGATGCGTCCGCGGACTCGTGATCGGGCGCGTCCTCGTTAGCGAGAAAATTCGGGTGGTTTCGAAAACGGGGAATTCTGATTTAGGATTTGTCAAAGAAATATTTAATCGAAACCTTCCAGTAACTATCATAAAGTTTATCCAAGAAACAACTTTTCTTTTACTTATTTCTCTTTTTTTTAAACAGGGATTGATCATAAGATAGTTCATGTTTATTAGTCCGTAGTCATAGGCCTAATAGTGTCGTATGCCAAACTCCGACAGCTGTAAACTTTTTTAAAAAAAAAATTGAATCTTGAGTGTTATCTACATGTAGAAACCATAATTACTGCTTGTATACACAATGCGGCTTGATTATCTCGTGAATTTCGCCCAGTGCAACTACCGACAGGATTAGTTACGCCTCATTGAACATGACACCTGTGATTGTATACAGTCAACTTCTGGGTACTAATTGATTATGCAACAGTTAAACACCAAGTTATTTGTATGGCAATTGATTACGCGTGTATTTTAAAATATGGCTTGAATGCATTACCAGTTTATATACTTGAATATGTTAATATTGCGTAAACAAACTGATAAAATGATAAAGATTTTTATTGATGTTTGGATGGAAGGATACTGCAATAATTTAGTTGGGACTCAACATAATTTTTCTGGGACGCATCAAATTTAGCTGGGACGCAACCTTCTCAGAAATCTTGAGTCCTGGGACTCAAGGTAGCAAAATCCTAGTGAGAACCCTGTAAGTTATTCATGGTTATTTACGATTAAGGAGGAAAAGCCCTCTCCTGTGAAATATCATAGATAATGCACTGTTTCCCTTGTAAAGTCCATCTTCAGTAAAGTTTTGACTCAAGCCCTAAAGAATTATAATACAACTTTCAAAATGAATCGTTTGGACAAAATAGAACATGAAAATTGATTTACAATCCTACTTTCCTTGTTTTAAGAAAAGAGTGATTGTCCACGAGCTTGGCCATGCAATCGGATTCCAGCACGAACAATCCAGACCGGACAGGGACGCCTTTGTAGAAATCGTTAAGGAGAACGTCCCGGAAGCGTTGGCTTATAACTTTGACAGACTTCCGGTAACCAAAGTTGATGATTACAACGTGGATTACGATTATAGAAGCATAATGCACTATAGTTCAAAGGTGTGTTTTGTGTGGCGATGATTACTTTCAGAGCATTGATTTCAAATGATGCTATTCATGTTCTTGTTCAAAATATGCTATAAAAATGCGTAAAAATCATTCTTTATAAATAAGTTTCTATATTAATGTCGATAAGGTACTTACTGTGTTTCGATTCTAATATACAGGCTTTCTCGACCAATGGAATGATAACCGTCAGGACTAAAGACCCAGAATACCAGAATATCATTGGGAACGCCCCTGGCCTAAGCTTCCGAGATATCAAACTGGCAAATCGAATGTACCATTGTAATGGTAAAAAAAATATACTTATCATCTCTTAAGAACTACCACAATGTTAGTTAATTGTGGTCCGTGCATTCTGTATTTTCCGAGGTTATGAAAAGCTTAATTGCAAATCAGCAAGTTCTATTGAAATGTTTTTAAGATGCCAATAAATTTGCAAGTAACCTCTAAAGTTCCGGAAATACTTATCTCTTTTGCATATGTGCGAAATATTGTCCTGTTTACACGGAGAGTTTAATTCACAGTAAATTAATGCGAAGTAAAATGATGCGAATCAAACTAAAGCGAATTAAATTGCGTTCACATGACAGCTAATGCGAAGTAAACTAATGCGAATTATAATTTTATTTCTACAACAAGCTGTTACGACGTCATTTACAAATCACGTCATAGTGTGCAGAGCAGATATACGTTTGACATAATGCCATAGTGTCTGTATACATTTTAGTGATTAACGTAATTTTCCTATGTTTTCCACTCAAAAATAGTAGAAGTACCCATATCTGACCACCGACATGTGGCCATTCGGCAAACCTCGGCTGATTCCGTCACCTTCATCAAACCTCGGCTGTACGAGGAAACTTGATATGCGTCTCCGCTTAACATTTGTGATCAGACTGCCTGTTTACCGCTTAGGGAAAACGTAACGCTTTGAAAACGATAATAAACATGCATTTGATATACGATAAAAATTTTCAAAAGCATTTAGGTAACACTAAGAATAACACTTACCAAGAAAAATGCACTTAGTATCTTAACATAATCACATGTTTGTTAACGGATCGAATTCAGCACACTGTGCACGTGTATATGTAGGGCGCAGCCATATTGAGTATAAAGTAGCTCCGGTTCAATGGAGGTTTACATGATACAGCCGAGGTTTGATGAGGTACGAATCGGCCGAGGTGTGCCGAGTGCTTCATCAAACTATAGCTCCGGTTCAATGGAGGTTTACATGATACAGCCGAGGTTTGATGAGGTACGAATCGGCCGAGGTGTGCCGAGTGACATGTGGCATGTGACTTAATTCTGCCCTTACGCATGCGTCAAAATTTAATTCGAATTAGCTTCGCTTAGCGTTCCCACGGAGCTAATGCGAAGTAATTTAATGCGCAGTAAACTAATTCAAATTAAATCTAATTCGCATTAAATTCTCCGTGTGAACGCGGTTCAAATTTAATTCCCAGTAACTTATGTTTAATTCGAATTAACTCTCCGTGTGAACAGGGCAATAATTTAACATCCCATTTAAGAAGGAAAATACGATTTGTAGAGAGTTACGCGCCATTTACACCCATTTATCAACCATTTTACCTTTTACTTTTCATTACTTTTTCCCAGTCAATTGTTCTGTGGTGCAGTGTCCTGGCAGAGGTTTCCAGGCCCGCGACTGTAAGTGTTATTGTCCTTCTGGAGATTCCTCTAACCCACTTAAGGAATGTGACGACACAGACAAAGTCACTGACAAACCAATTGTGACATCAACTCTGGCTCCCACACCGGTCACAGAAACACCTGTCTCCGGTAATTAGTTAAATCCGTAGGAAAATATGCAGAAACTTTTGAAAATATACGTTTTATTTATTTCAAAATAAATTTCTATTCAGTTTTGAATTGTTTTATGAAAAAATATAACCAGTGATTTGAATCCAAAAACTTAATTACAAAGTATATGACCTTTTTCACTTTCTGAAATTTTTTTCAGTATATTTAATTTCGAACAATCAAAACCAAACCATTTTGACTTGAATTTATTGGTTTGCAATATGTATAAGGTCACTCAAAATGCCAAACCGGCATTGTTCAAGAACTTTTTGGAAAGCACTCGTATTGTGATTCAATATGTTAAATCGTAGAATACACTAGCATAAATAAAAACTTTTATAAAACAATTAAAAACAGCTTTGGTGTTTATTCAAATGTAATTTTCATATAACATTTATTTGGTGACAGATAGCTGTAAGAACGGACATAACTATTGTGATTTCTGGGCCAGAAGAGGACACTGCGATTCCTCCCCCGGCTTTATGAATCTCTACTGTAAAAAGGCTTGTGGCAGATGTACAGCAGGTAAATACACCTTTTTCAACAAATTTCAGGTATATATATGCAATGAAAAATTTAACAATTAGTCTTAAAGATGTCATTGAAATTAGTGTGTGTGTATGTTTCGTTTTTCATCTTTCTATCAGCAATGCATTTTGAATTAACAAAGAAAACGTGATTCTAAAATCAGATACAGATTCTTGTGAGGATGTTGGACAACACTGTAATTTCTGGAAGACGCAGGGCTACTGTTCCATGAATATGATGCCGTATATGCAAAGAAGTTGTCGTAAAACTTGTGGATACTGCACATCTGAGGAAGGTTAGTGGTGTCTATTCATGAAATGTCTCATAATTCAGAATTTTTTATTTATTTATTTATTTATTTATTTATTTATTTACTTTTTTTCCCTTTCGTTGGCTGTTTATACTGCGTCTTTAACCGCCTTCTATTATTGCAATTTCAGGTAATGGTGAAGGCGTTGCTGAACCATTAAACGCAGGAACTGATATTACAGCCAAGATGCCTTTTGTCATTATTTTGACTGTTGTGCAAATATTCATAGCTAAAATTCTCTGACACAAAAATGAATGCTCAAAGATTTTTTCCTTTGAAGAAAAAAAGGACAAGTTCTGGTGTTTATTAAAGAAGAGATTGACCACTTCAAAAAATAAAAAAACAAGGTGTGGATGACATTTTAAGACATCCTCCACCTTTCATGCATCCCCAAGTTAACCAGAGTATATGAGATTCTTATATTTTATTTTTGTTTGCATTATTCTATCAGACTGATGTTTTAATGTAGATACGATTTAACATCAGTTATATCCGTCTTCTTCCCAGATGTATTAGTCAGTGGTCATTTGCAGGATGGAAAAAGCAAAGTGTTTGACTTTTGGGTCCTTTCGCTGTTTTTTTTGTAATGTTTTAGATTTGTAAATAATCTCCCGGTGACATAGCTTGTAACACAGAGACAAGAAAAACGCTGAGTTTTGCCATGCTGCTTTCGTTCAGACTAAATCTGTGATAATTTAAAATGTGATTGTTTGAATTTGTTTCCATCAATTAAAAAAATAACAGTTTTCACGTCTGTATTGTTTTTTTTAGGAGCATCGCGCACACACACACACACACACACACAGTGCTGCTGAATTTTAATGCCATGCAGGTAAAATTTTTAAAAATTAGTATTTTATACCGTTTAATATTTATCATAACAATTATATACAAAGGTATAACAATAAGTTTTATAATCATTCGATTTTATTTTGGGACGAAACTGTTTTTCTCGTCGCTGTCGTCTTTGTTCTCTTCATTAGACTCGTCATTCTCTATCTCTCTTGAGTCCTCTTTTTCATGTGAGTCTTCCTTTGATTCTCTGTGGATTTCATAGTGCTCTGATGAGAAGGAATGATCATCTTTGTCGTGAGATGATTCATACTCGTGGTCTCCATGTTCTAATGAATCCTTGTGTTCTTCATGTTCATTCTCTCTGGAGACTTGTTCCTCATGTGAATTATCTTCAATTTCATGCGAAACAGAGCCGTGTGAATTGTCTTGCTCAATTTCATGTGAATCATCTACTTCACTTGATACATATTCATGTGAATTATCTTCGTCTGATGCATGCCCATATGAATTATCTTCTACTTCTGATGAATATTCATGTGAATCATCTTCAACCTTCTCTGACGCGTATTCATGTGAATCATCTTCAAACTCCTCTGATGCATATTCATGTGAATCATCTTCAACCTCCTCTGACGCATATTCATGTGAATTATCTTCTGATGACATATATTCATGTGAATTATCTTCAGAGTCTTCTGATGCATGGTTTATTTCAAGTATTAAGTTCTTATTCATTTCGTTGGAGTCGTATAATTCATGTGAGATATTATCCGACTCTCGCGAATCCTTATCCGTCTCACTCGAATGATCAAACTTTTCTGAAATAGGTACAACATGTATGTGGGGTATATGTCCTCTGTGTGCATCATCATTTACCCTCTCTAGAGAATCATCTGTTTCATCGTATATTTCGTCGCTGTGTTCATAATGATCATCTTCATAGTCGTCATTGATTTCCCGCGAGTCATTTTCCTCGGTCTCCTTTGAATTTTCGAAGGAATCTCTGTGTTCTACTTCTTTAGATTCTGGGTGTTCGAAGGAGTCTTGTCTTTCTTCAGACACATCATCAGATTCGTCGGAATCTACATACGCTTTCACGATGGCATCCTTCTGGTGAACCTTTCTTTGCCTTTTGACCTTGACTTTCTCAGCTCTTGGATGGTGATTGCCTGAAGGGTTTAAACACGGTTCAATTGAAACCTTGGCCTATTTTTTTTATACAAAGACAATAATATTTGCTGATGAAGTTATTTTGTAATGATCGTAAGTAATTAATATACACATGTATATCTTACTTGTTAAATGCCTCACTTCAAACACCCAGGCATCTGTGGTTCGAAATTCTCTGAAACTAACAACGCCATCACCTAAAAAAGAATTTATAATTAATTTTTTTTAAATCTTTATACACTGTACATAGGCCTTTAAGTATTAACACATGTCTGCATTCACACCATTAAGTTTTATATGTAATATTTACATCCACTGAATATTTTCTCCTTTATTTCCAAAGAAAACCATTGCCGTTTATCAGTTCATGAACAACACTAGGCATATCACCTGTACAGATTTCTTGATCAGTGGCTGTTCCATCAATGAAACGTACTATGACGTACATATCAATAATACAATAATTAATCTTTTTAATCCTACTTTAAATGATAATTTATACAAATATAAATATAAACAATAAAATGTCTTTCTTTGGTTGTTAGTACGGGAATTAATGTCGCAGCTATTGCAGAAAAAAATTAACATAACCCGCTTACGCGGGTTATGTATTTTTTCTGCAACAGCTGCGACATTTATTCCCGAACTAACAACCAGAGAAAGCATTTTATTGTTTAAATACCTGTAATATCTTCTTTTTTTTTTAATTTCCTTCCTAACAGCTTTTCCTCGAATATCGATAAATTCTGTTCATAATATTCATGGCAAGCCAACTTACCATTTTTGTCGGCAGCGCGGAATGCAACTTTGACGTGGAGATCACGTGGGTTGTGTCCTAGAGTTCTAGCAAATTCATTGAGAGATATAAGCCCGTCTTCGTTGACGTCGTAGAATGATAGACTTCGAGGTAGTGGGGTTATATGCACGTTTCCATCTGTGTCTGCCTATATAAAAAAAAAAACAAATCAGAAAATTAGAATATTTATTTATATGGTGTAATTTAGAGTCGCATCTAACCAAATTATGTTTATTTATATATTTTGGATTATGGATAGCCATCTACATTTAAATTACTAATTGTAAATGACAGGGAAAACTTTTTATGCTTTCAAGTTTTGAAAATTAAATGGTAGAATATACATAAGCTAAAAAAAAATCAATGAAACATGCAGCAGAATTTTATCTTATAATTTCAGTAAAATACCAGCATTTTTAGTGACTGTTTTCCTGTGTATGCATTGGTGCATACATGTCTCAGGATAAATGCACAAGTAAAATCTGAATCAAATCCGGTGTATTTTCGGCAAACTCGGGGAGTAACCACGTGGCAATGTCCCGAAATTAAATCTCTTAGAGACATTTTTAAATCCCATTTCGAAGCAGAGGCCACAAGAATTTGAAACAAGAAAATGATACACAATTTGCAGACTTTTGGCAACATGGTCTAGATCTTGTAAGAGTGATGAGGTGATTTTGGGGTATATTTATATATATTGGTCTTAAGTGACCGTGGGCGATAGACATTATGTAACTGTCGTGGTCATGAAAGTGCTTGCGCTCCGACACCATCAATTTGCCTTTGTTAAACATGCTTCTGATGACATTTATATGTAATGGGAATGTCCTTTAACTCATTCTTACGTGTCGCGTAATCAGGCACAATTGTCAAAACATTAGGATCCATAACGAAGTTCCTTAATAATCTTTATAGATATTTATTGTACAAATCTTTGTAAGGATTCCATTATAAAGGGGAGAATTTCCTTATTAACATACATAAAGTGTATGATAATTTTATTGCCGTTTATTGGATAAAATAACACTGTACTTTAATATTTATACACTCTGCATACATTTGCATATATAAATTCAGAAAGTGATCGCATTGGTGATCTTGACGAATTTCATTAGTCATAGAGTGGTATTCACTTCACTTTTATTATTTTGAACTTTTCTTACTTTGTCATTGTAAGTAGTTAAAAATGAGACAACACTTTTTTAGAAAGTAAAAAGTTTTTGTGCAAAGTGAAACAAGCGTATTCAGAAGCACTACTCCGTTCAAAGCGGAATATTTTTTATATAATAAAATCAGATATTTATTATTATTATTATTATTATTTTAATTATTTAGTATTAACTTATTATTATTTATTTATTATTTTTATTATTATTTCAATATTTTATTCTATTCTTTTTTTTTTATAATTTTTTTTCTTTATTCTTTTTGTTTTGGTGGGACATCAAAATGCACACTTTTCATCCCCCGACCCCGAAAAATTATATTCGAATTCACCATGAAAACTACTATTCATTTATTTATCTTTTCTTTAATTCTGTTGATAATTTTGAGGTATAATATGGAAAGCTAAATTCAAATATGATTCAAAATATATCGCATATGTGTGCACACTCGTTATTCTTTATGCAGTTACCATACAGATACATATACCATTTTTCAAATATTTCTCTTTTCCATTGTTGCAAATTTTCAAAATCTCTCAAAAAAATTGAGTCCTTCATAATAGATTCATCAACAATTAACATAAATGAGTTACGATATTGTATTTATAAGAATTATTTTACAGTATCCGTAGATTGAAAGACCATATTTATCCACCAATTCAAGTACATTCCACAATATAATATGAAGGAAATCTTTCAACCCCCCCCCCCCAACCCCCCTCGAAGACCAATAAATTACTTTTGTAGTCATTCGAAAAATCAGAGAAGATTTTTCCCGAAAAATTCCAGCAGCCCAATGGTGTCTAAATGCTTTGTAAATTGAATACCAGTAGGATGTAGAACATGACAGCTGACTTGTAGATATATCAATGTGTATCACGATTTTTCACACCTGTATACATTGTTCAATGATTGAGATAGCCCCGATTTTAATCAGAGACGGGTTTATGACCGCGGTTTCTTGGATTTCTAAATTATTTCTAAGTCCTCAGAATCAGAATAAGTAAATTTTATTTTAAAACAAATTTTATTTTTAAAACAACAAACACAAGCGATGTAGAGCCTTTGACCGACAATCCTACTTCCAAAGACTTCCATGTAATAGAGAGCAAACCAATGTTGATATAATTTACCCTAAATCAGAACTCGTTGTGTATTAGCCTTATCATTCTTCACGGAATGTGCTCTTGTATAACAGTTTATAATAGTAGTTAAGTGTCATTTTAGATATTTATTTAAGTATTTGGAAAGGTTCTCAAATAACTATCACCTCAGCTCCGGATTATGAGAATTACACAGTACACGTCTACACATATATACTGCTCTCAAAACTCTACAACGTATCTCACCAAGGTTCACTATTTTGAAAATCAAAATGTACTTCTGGCAAACCAATAAACAGGGTAAAATAATTAAAAAAAAAAAACAGAAAAAAAAGAAACAAATACGATGCCACTTACATTTTGCGTAAAATAATTTCAATTCTGTAATACACTTCACATTTTCAAAACTCATACAGATAGGAAACATTAAAAAGAATGCATACATGTATCTTCTTCTGCAAGTTCATTACCATTCCTATAGATATTACTCTCATTTATACCGATGATGCACAACGGGTGATAACTCTAAGTAAGAGGCCAAACTTGACAATATCACAATAGACGAAAATGAAATTATGGATATTATCGAAATTTTAGATTCTAAAAAAGCCTCCGGTCCCGACAATTTTAGTCATATTTTAATAAAAGAAATAAGTAATGAAATTGCAATCCCTCTAAAAATTCTGTTCAATAAATCTCTGAAAACTGGGAAATTTCCATGTGTTTGGAAACGTGCTAATGTTATTCCTGTCTTTAAAAAGGGAGAGAAATCAAACCCATCAAACTACAGACCAATTTCCTTGTTGAGTTGTATGGGGAAAATCTTTGAAAGAGTAATGTTTAAATACATCTATAACCATTTAGTATCACATAAACTGTTATATAACCTACAAGCTGGATTTATGCGTAGACATTCAACAATCACCCAGTTAAAAGAAATTTATCATATCATTTGTATTGCTTTAGACAATAAAGAAGTCACCTGCTTTGCTTTTTGTGATATCAGTAGGGATGGGTATCGGCAGAAATTTCGTATCGTAATATATCACGATTTTCCCCCCAAAATATCACGATAAATCTTGATATTTTTAAACAAAATTTTTACTATTATTTCAAATGAATTTCCATAATATTTCTTTAAAATATGCTATAAAACACACCTTTACTTTTTAAATTTTTATTTATTTAATATAAAGCATGTTTGGATGCAGTTGTTTAAAGTTGCATTATGAGTCAAAACCATGTATTTCTTTTAAGAAAAGTGTATCAAAAAACAAAAGATTTCTGTGAAATATAAATATAGCGAAGTTTTGACAACTCAACTGCACTGTAAAGCAAGAAAAAAACTGCGAAATATAAGTGCCGGAAAAACAAATGTTGTATCTATCGCTTTGTTTTTATCGTCAATGTGAAAAATGTCAAGGTCACGCGTCCTTTTATTTTTAGCGTGAAAGTTGTAAACAACATTGAATTGGGACAAGCAGAAGTAAGGAATAAGTTATGATCATCTTTTTTGAAGATTGTATCAAAATTCTCAGTCATCCGACATTTATATCTATGAAATTGAATCCATGGTAAATTCTTCCAACTTTTCAGCGCATGCGTACAATAAAGAGGAAGAAGTGAAGCAATATTTTTGTGATGGGTTATACAAAGATTTTTTTTAGTTTTATTTTTCTCCATTAAATTAGATTTTTTAGGTTCTGAAACCTGTAATTTTCTGAAACCTAATACCTTCAAGAACTGAACAAAATTTGCATGTGTCATGCAAAAATTCTACTGTTGTCAATTTTCCCGTTTGTCCGTCACAGTGTCACTTTAATTTAATTGTTTTCAACATTTTTTACACTTCCTGTAATTGCCATTCAACAGTTTGAACAAATAAATGAATAATTTCCGGAATCTATAGTTATGTACCAAATACCGGTATTTTAGTATACGTATCACGATACGTATCACGCAATAAAAAATCGCGATATACCGGTATACCGATAAAATCGCACATCCCTAGATATCAGTAAGGCAATCGATACGGTTTGGTTGAAAGGCTTAAAATACAAATTAGAAAAATTCGGGTTTGTGGGTGAAGTTCTTGCTTGGTTAAATGATTATCTTACTGGTCGATCACAGCAGGTCAAAATCAAATCATCAAGTTCTTCAGTGGGAAGAACGAAAGCAGGAGTTCCCCAAGGTTCTGTTCTTGGGCCTTTACTTTTTTTAGTATATATAAATGACCTACCATGTGGACTCTCAGGTCTCTCTAGACTATTTGCAGATGACACATCTGTGTCAAACACACCTAAAAACTTGAAGGACTTAGAAAAACTTACTAACCATGATCTAGAAAAAATTAACCAATGGTCAAAAAACTGGCTTGTAAAATTTAATTCTGAAAAAACCAAAATATTAATATTTGGCAGTAGTGAAGATGAAGTATCCAAACTAAGCTTTAAGTTTAACAGTCAAGAAATCATTCCATCTTCTACTCCCTGTCATCTTGGACTTACGTTTTCGAATTCTGGGAAATGGACAAACCACATTGATAATATTATTATAAAGGCTTCAAAAGAAATTGCAGTTCTTAGAAAATTGAAATTATCTTTAAATCGTGATTTCTTAACAAAGATGTATACTACATTTATTAGGCCCTTATTTGAATATGCATCAGAAGTATGGGATAATATTTCTGCAGCTGACTGTGAAAGGCTAGAGAAACTTCAATTAGAAGCTGCACATATTGTAACTGGACTTCCTAATTACTCCCCCCGTAACTCTTCATATTATGAAACAGGATGGGAAACACTTGCTTATAGACGAGAAAAGAGAAAGTTATGTCTAATGTTTAAAATAAAACATGGTCTCGCGCCAGACTATTTATCGAATCTATTACCTCCTGAAGTCTCAGAAATAACCCAGTATGATTTACGAAATTGTAATAATATTGTTATACCCAAATGTAGAACGAACTTATTAAAAATTCCTTCTTTCCATCTACAATATCATTATGGAACGCCTTGCCCTCTGAAATCAGAAACCTTGAAACTGTAAATGCTTTCAAAAAATATTTTTCTTTTGGTGAAAAGAAAATAAACTCAATTTTAACTAGAATGAGACACAATTTTAGTCTCCTTAAGTCAGACCTGTTCAAAGTCAGGCTTTCAGATAACATTGTTCTTGTGGATATACCAATGAAAACACTGAACACTTTTTTTTGTATTGTAAGAATTATGCTGAAATAAGATTAGAATTATTTCACACTATAAGAAATAACAAAGGAACAATAGACCTTGACACAATTCTATTTGGGGACTCAAACTTGGGACAACAAAATAATATGAACATAGTTAAAGCCGTACACAAATATATTAAAAAATCGAAAAGATTTTTATGAATACCCAGCGTAACCATTCTGTATCTATTACAACCCCTTTCCTTTCTTTCTTTGCACCCCCCACCCTTTTCATATTTCCTTGCACTTTTTTGTATTGTACATTTGTTGGTTGTACATCACGTGTATATGTATATGTCATTTTGTTTGTGTTGGAGAGGACAATTCTAAGTTGGTAAAACTTGTGTCCAATCCTACTGATTATGTTTCAATAAAATATGTTTAAATACAAAATACTCTAAGTAAACAATCACTCAAAAACTGATGACAACAAAATTAATGATTTTCTTATTTATTTCAAAATATATTAATAGCCATTCACTTATGTACATTTTCTTTAATCTTTCTTAAAAGAATCTCTAATAAATCACACAACATGCTGTGTTCACAACATCACAAAATCTTAATTTCAAAGCACCAACAATGGAGGCAGGGGGGCATGTTGTAAAGAGACATAATTCAATAAAGTTAGGGGGAGGGGCTAAAACTAAGATGCAGAGGTATTCAACTGGATTTTTTTCCAAATCAAAATAATATGTACATCAGATCACAACTATAATTAAAATCAAGATAATGTACATCTGATCATAAACATCTATAATGAAAAATCCAAATAATGTACATACAATAAAAAAAATCCTCTACAATGTACAAACAGCAAGATTCACAACAGGTTACAGGTGTGAGCAACTTCTGACTGTATAAACAGGTAGATATTATAAATAGGCATGTGACTTGAGAATTGACATTGAACTCGAAGCTGGAATGGACAGGTTGAATGGAAGACACAAATAATTGATGCGTAGAAAAATTTAAAAATGCAAACATTAACACACAAAGATGAGGACATGTACCAAAACCCATTTTTACAATAAACTGCACTCTTTAGCAAAAAATATGGGCATGAATGTGATAACATATATGGCACTTTTCATCAATTTACATAAACATAAAATGTTCCCATAAAGTGTAAATGTAGTTATAAGAATTAAGTTACAAAATAACAAGGAAATGAGTGTTATTTTTTCATTAAAATAAATTTTCTGTACTTTATAATGACTATGGGGTAAGTAATCTTTAAAAAAAAAAAATATACTAAAATATTCAATTTGAAAAGTAGAAACATTCCATTTGTCTCAAATGCATAAAACATTAAATTTCTATGGATGGTCCCAAAAGTCTGATTACCATTGGTACCACTTTTTATCATTTTCAGTGGTCTTTTAGTGAGAGACATTTACACCACATGCACTGAACCTTTAAATTAAGAAAAAAAAGTTAGTTTTATTGAATCAAAATATTGCGAAAGTCAATATTATTGTAAATACAGAAAGAACTGTATACAGTAAAGGCATATTCCTGCCCCATTATAGTCCAATTTTGAATATCTCTTGAATGTGCACACTTGCATAGATTGTATTAAAAATATGGATTATAAAATTATATAATGAATTGGAAAAATAATAAATTGTATTTTTGACTCTATGATGTCAAAAACTACTAGTATTGTGATTTCCTATTATTTCTTAAAAAAGACAAAATGCACAGTTTGTTCAATTTTGACTACAGTATTTATGGAATGCAAACTTGCTCAGGTACTTCTATTCTCATATTTCATTGATATTATAATTTTACGCATAATATCAAAAGATCGAGTCCAAGCAGATCTGTGCTTTAATTTTCCAATCAAAATTTTGATAAAAATACTGTTTTTCTTCCAAAATCATTGAGAGTTAGGACATAAATGTTCTGGTACATCGTTTTCATGATGTCTTAACTGACTTATGATGTCATGGTTGATAAAAATATTTATCACTTTGAATTCTGGATATATCTCCCGGATTTAGAATTTTACAACAAAGTTTAATTTTTTAATTTTTGGAGCAGGTGCTGGACAGAACATAGTCCTTTGCCACATTTGAAACTAGGCTACAAGTGATATAACTCTATCATACTAAAAATTGCATGAGAAAAATTTCAATACAGCAAAATTGCTTTCCTTAATAAATATGTCTTACCAGAAATAATTTTACTGCTTCTTAATAGAAGAAACAGAACAATATGCAATAAAATACTAATCCAGTACATGTTTTTAAAACAATCTGTCACAATTTCTGTGCCTCAATAATTTATTCATTTAAATTCTTCAATCACAGAAATTTTCAGTGTAAAATTAGATTTTTCCATTAAGTCAGCAAGTTTCTAAATAAAAATGAGTATTAAATGAAAGGGTGGAAAACTTCACTTCTACACAAAATGCTAAGTAACCAGCTACAAGTACTTTGAGAGAACATGGTTCTACAATCAATAGCTACAAAGTCTTGCACCTCAGAAAAAATGTACAATCTCGGTAAAAATAAATAAAAAAGACACAATAAAAAAAAAATAGGGAAAGTAGTTGACTGATCCCTTAGAACATTAAAGTGACTAAGTAGTAAGTAACTTCTCATGATATAATCTGCAAAAATCAATGCAAATGTATGATGACAATATAATAAAATGTTAGCACAGCTAAAACTTGGGTGTAAATATAAATAGATTTGCAGAAGGACTAGTGTTGAGTTTTTGATACAGTGCCTGAATACAGTAAACTCACCAGTGTAAAAATAAGTACATTTTGGGGTCACTAAAATGTACAAATAAAAAAAATGTAATGAATAAATCAAAAATTTACATGTCTTGACCTATCAAAGTACCATCACATCAAAATAAACATTAATTCCAAGTACACCATACCACATGCATACTGGTACAATGTGCACTTCAAGAGCATCATGCATAAATTAACAAATACTCTAAGATAAATAAGTAGAGAAAAGATATGTACAGTTTTGGACTATTTAAGCTAATTCCTGCTTAGCAAGGGCCAGCTCATCACTATCAATGACTACTCTCAGTTTAATCTGATGGACAGCTAAATCCTCCAGAATATCACTGGTCACCAGAATTGACTCGAACACTCTCAAAAGACTGCCATCTTCCAAGTTAACACACACATCTGTCACCTGTTTAGGAGTCATACAAATATTGCACACAACCAGAGAGTCATCCATGTCAACATGAAGAACCAGAGTTCCCCTCTTCTGTTCAAAGTACTTAATGATGGACATATTCATGGCACTGGTCAGAGATTTATAGAATCTTTTGACAAGTTTCTCAAAAGTTGGTCCTCTGTGTTTCCACTTCAGACAGTGTTCCACAGGTTTTTCAGTCTGAAGAGTAAGATTCAGATTTTCCCTCTTTCGTTTCTGATCAATGTTTACGTGATTTTCTGTGTGGTTTCCTAGATTTTCCTTGTTGGTAGAATCAAACTGTTCAACCTTCTCTGTATTATGGTTGAGTGAATTTTTCCTGTTTTGCACATTTTCTACACTTCCAATCTTATTAAATACATGACTATCCTTCAGTACATTAATGGCTTCTGTGGAAAGTGTGTACGAAATGAAACTTGTTCTACTGCTGGACCTAATGATGGTTGGACCTTCATGTCGTAAATTCTTCGGTAGTTCACTCCCTTTAGGAGGTTTCACAGGAGAAGGTGACCTGGTGACCTCCTTTTTTACTTCATATTTCAGCTTTCTTTTGGCAGGAATAGATTTCTTTTTTGCCTTTGTTCTTCTGCAGAAACACCAACAAGATGGCATCTCTTCGTCACTCTCATCATAAGCATATTCCTTGATCTTCCAGCCCCTTGAGGACCACTCCTCTCCGATCATTGTCATATTCTCATAGGATTTGTGGGCCCTCCTTGGGGTGAGGACAGGAATGACCCCCTCCTTTTTCTTCCTATCCTTTTCTGGGGTATCTCCCATTTTTTCCTCCATGTCATCTCCCTCCTCCCACACAGGGAACAGCCCAAAAATTCTGTCAACCTCCACATTGATTGTGACTTGTCCTATAATCACAAAGAAATTCACAGTTATTAATGTAAAAAATTTAAAGTAAAAAATTAAAATTTTGTTGTTTTTTTTTTTAATTTAAATACTGAACTACAAGTTTAATTACTTCCAAATTCATTTCCATTAATTGCCAACTGAATGATCTGCTATGCAATAAAAAAGCCCTCCCCCTATCTTTCACAATCCATGTCATGACCCTGTAACCTTGGTGACATGACTTTTAAACAAGGTGAATATTTACCTTAAGATCATAGGCAAAATTATCTTAATTCATTCCAATCTGAAGTTTAAGGTATAGCTCAAGTACTTTTTTGTTACAGAAAAACAGGCCAGAGGAAGGGAGGAGGGGATCATTAAATCATCATTTTATCCTAACTTTAAGCCACATTACTGAGGGAGAAATATGTTAACTACAGGTTAATTAAATTAAGATTTGACAGCATCTTCATTCAATTATGTATCAAAAATGTATCAAGGCACCCAAAAAAGGAGAGTTTATTTTACAATTACACAATTATAAAACCTCAAGAATGCTTCTTCTGAAATGATGCTTTTTCTTAAATGAATAAAATGAATATTCGGCTGAAATTCTATGGTACTTTTCAAAGTACAGGAAAATTTTATTATGTGGTTACAATAAACAAGGAACAAAATACACAATAGTTAACTGAATTTAACTTCTACATCTAAATCTTGAATAAGTATGGATGTCATTGATCAGTTGTAGTGTAAAGGTAATCTTGGTTTGTAGGGCAATGATTAGTTTTATCAGACACAATACAAATGACTCATCAGGGGTCATCAATAAATTGGTATAAATCAAATCTTACACCTGTAGCTGATTACACATACAACAAATCTAATTCACTGTATGTATGACCTTTTACTTTAAGACCGGTACAAGATGATAAAAAAAAAGCTCCACATTTTCTTACATGTCCAAGAACGTAAGCTTTTTATGCATATCTATTATAAAGGCAAGCAATCAAACAAATGTATAATCAGACATAAAATCTTGAAGTTTACAAAAACTGATACGGTATTTAAAAAAAATGGTCCTTATTAAGCAGATCCTTAAAATTACACCCATATCAATCATTGCCTAACTATCAATAATGATCATGTAAACATGACTTTCTATACAGGATGTCACAATAATGAATACATAAACAGATTTATGGTGATCATTATAACTGACCCTGTCTGTCCTACACCATCACCTGTAAAAATCAGTGTTCTCAGTCAGACACACTGATCAGTGTCACAACACTACAACATTTAACTATTAAGCTGGCACACAAAATCTTTTGAAGTATTGAAGTTCCTTTATATTTATATAATTGATAAATTTCAAAACATCACTGAGATAAGTGAATATGAGATTTATATCACACATATCAGTATTAAGGTGGATCTACACTTCCTTAACAGTTAACTTCCTTAAGATACCCACCTTTGTATCTGTCCTTGCCAAGGTACCCTGAAATGAAACGTAAACACAATCAATAAATGTACTGCCTTGTGTTGATATAGCTTTTAGTTCACGACCTGTTAGTTTCTTTTGAATATTACATGACAAATTAAAAGCAAACAGGTTTGATAATGCATATTTTAGAAATTCTAAAGAAAATTGCTTTCTTTTCATCATATTTCAGACACTTTTTGTGTAAGTGACAAGAACATTATTTTGAAAGGACTTCGAAAGGCTTTAACTACACACTGTTTAAACAAACATAAAACTCTCTCCTTGTAAAGAGTGTAAAATTTCTTTTCTCATAGTGCCTTTTAGTTAAAGGTTTCAAACTACAGAAACAGTTTCAAAGAACTGAAATACAATCCTACTCCACAGCGAAAATGTTGTTACATGTCAAATTTTTAAGTACACATGTAACTATTCATAATATGAATTCTTATTTATTTGAACTGCTAGCTTTTTTCTACCTGAACCATAAATAGGTTTGATTCTGGAGTCCTCATCTAGGGAACTGGCCAAGTGAAGCTGACCAGATTGCCGTAATGCATTAATAAACAAGGCCACAGCTGAACTCCCTGTTCCCTCCACCAATTGTAACAGGGCTGTGTTTCTCTGTACTTTAGTCTTGCCATTCTCTATTTTCTCTTTCCCCTCCTGGTCCAACACACCATGTTGGATCAGGTAGTCGTAGATAGCTTCAGCATCTAGGGATTCTATTAGATCCTCTCTCTCAGTCAGAGATAATCTTTGCATATTACAATCAGGATGTCTGGGGGATTCTCAGCCTGTGAGCTCACAACTGGCATCCTGTGTCAACCTACAAAATAAAATCTTTATAATATACACATAATTACAAAGTAACAACAAAGATATCTGCAAGTATGCTGTAAAGACTTCAAAGTAATTTATGTATGCCCTATAACCACTTCAAAGAATCTCTCTAGCTGTAAACAGTAACCAATACATGCATTGGCATAAAAAAAGTTTGCAAATATAAAAAGGACCAGCTACTGGCTATTACTAAATCAATCCCTGAAAACTGTTGCATTTACAAAAAGTCATTTACCTTTGTAAGTTCAGATGGAATATTACACGAATATTTCACGTAAGAATATATTCCTTATTCAGATAGCTAAATACTTCTTATATGTAAATTTTGTCCTAATTTTCTATAAATATCTGGGAGAGTTTGGAACATTTAAAATTCTTTGTGATATTAACTATGCTTTACTTACCAACTACAGGATTAAGTACCTGTTCTGATATGTGATCAAGTCTTTAAATTCAGCAAACACACAAATAAAATTAATGTCACAATAATGCCATAATCAAATATATATATATATATATATACAGGTTAGGAATAAGTATGTCCAAACCTGCAGTTAAACACAGGGTACATTTAATCTTGTACAAATGTTTACTTTATCACATGAATGTTATTGTACTTGCAAAGCCATTATGAACTGATAAAGCTTTAATATTGAAAGAAATTAAAGTACAAGTGCCTATCAAAAAGCTTCATCGATCAATGCAGATGCAATTCAAAAATCACACTTTTTCAAACATCATAAAAATTATCCTTTCTCCAGAATTCAAGATAACAACAGTTTATTGCTGGTAATATGAGTTCGAATATGAAAACATACAGGCCTAAACATAAATGTCAAAAATTTTATCCTCGCTGCTTTTATCTAATCCAAACATCCCAGAATCCAGTCTGCAAACAGCAAGGTGTTGCTTATAAAGACAGAAAATTCAGTAATACTATCAGAGCCTAACAAAACTAAAGACTAAAAAAAAAACCACACAAAAACCTGACATAATCCAAGAATCTTGAATGATTTTCTTATAACAATTCATTTGTACATAGATCTATTTGAGCTTTCAGTGTTGTGTACACTATCGGTATAAAGTTCTTTGTCACCGAATGATTTGAATATTATATATAAAGTGCAGGGGTGAATCCAGGATTTTTTTCGGTGGGGTGGGGTGGGGTGGGAGGGGCACATCAACTGTAACAAATGTCAATCAGAATTTTTTAACAAGGAAAAAAAAATCCCAAATCTGAAGGGAAAAAAAAATCATTTTTCGTAAAAGGGGGGGGGGGGGGGGGGGGAGACTTTCTATGTCAATTTTCTTCAGATATTTGACTCTCCTTACCGTTTTCAAAGGCCAAAGGGATCCTTGCTTCTTAGATGTCTAAGGTTATTTTTCCATTACTTTTACATACTGTGAAAATTCCAGGGGGGGGGGGTCAACCCCCCCCCCCCCCCCCATATCCACCCATGCACTATACATAAATTCAACTAAAAACTACTATTTTAACATGTTAAAAATTACAAGAAATGAACAAGCTAAAAACAACTATGGTCACTAGAGGCTAAAAACTGACTGATGGTTAATACATGTAATACAGGGGTACTATTTAGCAAATTTATAAATTGTGGTTATTTTTTCTTCTTTTTTTTACCCTCAAGGTATCACTTACACTTCTGTAAATGTAATGAACTACATGACAGGTAACATATGCTTTTTATCAAATGTTCATAAAGATCTCATTACACAAAATAAACATGAAAACATGTTGATGACAGAGAGAAATCTTTACACCTGCATGAAAACACATGAAAAACTTGTTATGACAACCTAGCTCACATACCATAGCAAAGAGAAATGCCTGGATCTGGGAGCAGAAGGCTTACTTCTACTGGTCTGACAGACAGAAATTCCACAATATACACTCACTGACTCAAATGTGTGATTCCTCCACTGATAAATATTAATATTTGACAGGAACTTATCAACAGATCATTTGCAATCCTCATTCATCAAACCAGAGAGTTGGACCACCATTAATATTCAGATACATGTTTCAACTGTCGATAGAGCATAAACAGCTGCAAAATGGGTTGCATGAGGATGCACATTCTTAGATTTTCTCAATTTACCCTGGTCAATGCACTTGGAACTTTCCTATGACTTATGATAGCAATTTTTCATGTGAAGGCCTACAGAGATGAAAGCAGTCACTTCAAATACATTTTATTGTACTTCTGTGTATATCACTGAGTACACATGCATCAGAAGATAAACAGAATTTACCATAGGTTTTCATTACAAAACAAAAAATCACAGTTGAACTGACACAATAATTCAATACACAATACTCAACAGGGGCTGACAAATAGATTTTTTAAGTACTTGCCTATGGGCGAGTACATGGTCAAAATTCACTTGCCCTACCTGAATTTTTACTTGCCCCACCATAAACTATGAAAATAGGAAGACAAAAAATGATTATTACAAGTGCTCATTTCCACTTAAAACTAAAACTTGTTATTTTTTTTCATGAAAAAGTCACTTGCCCTCGGGCAAGTGGTTAATAAAAATTCACTTGCCCATCCCTAAAATTCACTAGTCCCAGGCGTCGGGCAATGGAATTTGTCTGCCCCTGCTCAATGAGTTTTGAAAACTGTGAAGTTTTATTCCATGACTATAGGATACCGAGAAATAACGTTTGAAAAAGAGAAGTCTACTGCAAGATGGCAATGCAATGAATATATATACCTCCAAAATATATACACAATACAGTTCAAAGGAACCAACCTATTTAATACTGCTTTTCTCTCCATGAAAAGGCATTCATATGAGATAATATTCACAGTTAGGATATAAGGTTGCAGTTAAGCCATCAATTTAAATCTCATTATGACATTTTGACAATACCCTTGGCAGTGGAACAGGAGATTAAAGTAGGTGTCAACATAAAATGTATAAATCCACATCAATGTCAGGAATCTGACCAGCAAATTAGATCAAAGGACAAATACCCCTGGCTATTAGGGGCTTTTTCTGAATAACACACCAATGCACTGAGTGTATTTAATCATAATGAAAGGGGGTATACATCTGTATGCAAGATCATGAAAAATAATTCTCAAGTGGTTTTTAAAATAAGGTTTTTCTGTGTATAAGAACACAAAGTCCATAGTTCCTTGTCATTCATCTGCTGTCAATAAGAAATTAAACACAGATTGTGGCCTATGACTTCCTCCCTTATTTCTGTTATGTGTTCCAAATTGTTTTAAACAAAATTCCTGACATTTAACAAATTGTCGTGTAAGATAACACACCATAACCATCAGCTTGAGAAACATTTGGTATGCATCACTTACACTGCTACACCGAAATGGGCACCATGACTTCTAACCAAGGCGGAATATTTTCCCTGGAAATACATCTTACTATTATCTCTTTGTACAAGAATAATAGAACCTGCATCAGATAAAAGTCTGACAGCAGGCGGGATGAAATATACGGCATGTTTGTAACATGCCTGCAGAAAAAAAAGCGTATCAGTGCAGTATAGATACTGACTACAGCATTGTCTAATCAATACACAAGTCTGATGAGATCACAGGCAAATTAAGGTTTACAAACAAAGTTACATGAACATTAGATTTCCCCCTGGCTTCTGTACAGATAAAAACCCCTCCTTCTGCCTGTGTAGCTGAACTGAACCATGCACCCTGGAGCCAGGAACAGATGCTATCTAAAGGCCAATCACTTTACTACCATCTTCCAACAAAATACTTCAATTTTTCTCAAAATGCCCAACTTTTAGACAGATATTATGACAGATGGGTTCATGTTTATGCATTCATTAACTGTGGTATTTTGAGTGTTTCAAGAAAATAATTAATGTGGTATTTTCCATCATTAGCTGTTACTTCTAACATGTGTCATCATTACCAAAGAAAACTCTTCTTGTTAAGAAGTATTCCACCTGACTTAAATTGATATCTGTTCATTTCACCCTATTGTAACCTCAGAGATAATCTTTTAAAGCTATCTAACCTAGCTTAAATTAAGTTTATCAAATCACATTATCATTAAGAATTACACCCTCCTAAGTTTCTAATCTTCTGTTCCTCCAAAAGAAGATTAATGATTCAAATGAATGAGAGATACAGCTTATCCTTAGGATATTAAATTATTGACAGTTTCACACCTGTTAACCATTTAATGCATTAATCTACTAAATTTAAAGTCTCTTCTTGCCCACAAAAAAATGAAGTTAACCTTGGACACAATTCTTTAGTACATATATTGGTAATCTAAAAGGACCCTACTGCATATCTTTGGTTTGACCACTAAAAAAGAAACTCACCAACTGGAACCTGCACAACTCTTCCATAGCTGTGTTCTATGGAAAATGCTTGCATGTCAATGCCTGGGCTTTCTGCCACTAAATGCAGAATTCAGGCCCATTAAGAAGACATGTAACAAAATCAATACCTGGTCGTATCTCGAGAATGCTGTGCCTGACATTCACGTAAACAAATGTGATTTCAAACACCAAATATTATCTCCATCTATACCACACCACACCGAAAACCAATTCCTTGAAATATTGATAAGGCATTACATAACACAATACTAAAAACTTTAACAGATCTTGGTTTTTTCTTAGCATCTGCGGCATGAAGAAATATTTGCCATCATTAATATTTACAAAAATGATGCAGTGAGTTTCAAAATTCAATGTTGAAATGATAAATCATCATTTTTTCCAACCAAAAATTTGCTTTCAAGCATGTTGCACTTTACAAAAATGAGCAATTTATGTAAATGAACAATTTCTGAACCACATAATAATCGTCCCAAGTTCTTTTTGCGATTTGCAGTTAACAAATATGATAATTTTTATCTTCATTATTGGCAACACAATGTCTTCAATAGATTATCTTAGTATGTCTTACATATTGAAATGCCTTGTATCCCAATCTGAACTAATCAACACCCCCTCCACCCTTTCAAAAAAAATCACAATGCTTAACATGTTGCAAAGGTAAAATGAAACACATCTTTGTCTGTTTTATTTCATTGTGTTGGCATATGTTTTTAACAATGTTTTTCCCCTGTACTGTAGTGGTTCACTCAAAGGATGATCTACAATTTGCAAATTCACAAAACTTATTCTTCTTATCGGGGTTCTTATTAGAGGATACAAGTTTTGCACAATGTATGCCAGAAAATAATCAATCAACATATAAATGAAGTATTTAGTTATTTTCTCTGCAAAGCATTGTCATCTTTCATTTCCGGTTGCTGTACATTTAAAAAGAATTTTAATAGTTTTAATATAAAACTCCTAATATTCTTTATTAAATATTTTGCCCTAAATTAAAGGTACAAAAATGAATACACTTGCATAATTTTATATGAAGTTTTTTTCTGCCTTTCATTTTTTTAAAGACTTTTCTCAGAGGCTAAAAATAGAATCTGAATGTTCCTCATGAAAACTGGGAAAAATAGACATATATATTCATTTTTAGCTAAGAAATAAGTTCGAACATGTGCATACTATTACCTTTTGTCAAACATGACATATAGGCCCAGTGGGCCGGGTGTTTAAGTTAAACTTCCATTTATTTTTGTGTGTATATATGAAACACATGTCACTATAATAAATAAATTACATACTTACTTACTTACATGACTTTGCATAGCACAAATAAACTAAGAGAACTCAAAGGAAACTACCTGCATGTAAACCCACCTTTTTCTAACCATAACCTGCTTTAATAAGCTCACACCTATTGACCTTAACACTGATAAGATCGAGCTCAAACTCTAAGCAATTCCTGCTAAAGCTTCTTGCTGAAGCACAGAGCCTAAGCCCACTACATGTATTTCCTAACGATTCTGGAAATACTTTATGGAAACACTGCATCAAACAGACATATATGGGTGGCAAATTAAATCTCCATCTGATTTTTTAGGAAGATGTATCATTTCAATTTGTGCATGTACTACCTTTGTACATACATTAATCATTTATTGCCGAGAAAATATGTGTGGAGAGCCCCTATTAAAAATATAATATTTTTTTTAATTCAAATGCATTAATCAGACTTTAACCTATTAATATTTTCTGCATTTGTCTTGAGTTGATGTCTCCTACCCTCTTATTTAAAGAGAGGGGTATTCAATTTTATTTTTAATAATTCAAATAGATGACCGTGTTCTGCTGAATTCAGATCTTTTAAAAATTGTATATAAACGCTAACTTAAAGAATATGAAAGCAAATCACATATATCATATGCACTGATTCGATACTAAAATGAGAATCCACAGGAGTTACTAGTCATTGCCTGAGTCAGTGGTGCATTTAGATCGATAACGACGCATCTCTGACAAATAATGCATCTGATGTTGAAATTTGCATATTATAAATTAATTCACCTTTTCCCTAATTTGATTTGTACTTACCTTCCTATTTTAAAACATCGACAGATTCCAGGCATCAGCCTGATCTGGAGGAGATCGTATGTTGACATGTATTTTCGTTCTCATGGCCAATTTTGTTCCAAGGAATATGATTGGTGGAATATTATCTGATCTTGTTAAGTTGTACATAAAATTGCTCGTCTTATAATGGCAAATTTTTAACAAGATTAATTAATATTAGCTCGTTAAAAAAAAAATCCCAATTAAATAACTTATAATTTTTAAAAATAAATCTTTTGTTTACCTAAAATAGTAGACAAAAATTGAAGAGAAAATGTTATTCATTACAAAAACTTTTTTTTTATTTTAATATTTCAATATACATGTATTATGTTTGAAAATGAAAAAACAAGTCACCTGGAATTTCAATAACATTTTTTATTTACAATTCCAGAATTTAGCACAACTTGTTTCACATAGATGATACTGACAGAACAACTCAAATGAAAAAAAAGAAAAAAAAAAAGATGTGTTTGTGAACCCGATTGATGCCCCCATATGGCAGCTATCTTAATTAAGACATTTAAGTGTATATGTGTACCAAGTCATATTGAAATTAAACCAAAACTATAGGAAGAGTAGCCTTTTAAGAATTTCAAAGAAATTTCTATTTTTATTAACCATATCATGGCAAACCGTTTGTCAAAATCAAAAACCGATAAAACTAATTATATATATTTTGGTATTGTCTACTTGTATACTAAGTCAAATTGAAATTGGACAAAACTGTAAGAGTATCATTTTGAAAAATTGTTTGGACAGATGGACAGACAGACAGCTAGACAGATGGATAGACGATGGGCACCTTACTAATCCAAAAGCTCTTCTGCTCTCTGACCAGCAGAGTTAAAAATAACGAACTATGTCATTTACCTAATGGACAGTAGATATCTGGGAATTTGATCATTTTCAGAAAGTATGAAATAATCTCTCATAACAGTTGTCATAAATATACAGTCAAACCTTGTTTTCTCGAACTTGATGGGACCAAGAATATACTTTGAGATATCCGAGGATTCGAGATGTCCAGGGTAATATACTTAAGGAATAATTGGGATTTCCAAATCACTTAGACATATCCATGGTATTGGAGATATCAGCGTTCAGGATACCGAAGTTCAATTGTACTGTTCTATATCCTTCTAAGCAGTGCATTTTGTTGTTATTTCAGTTTTGAGACTTTAGAGTAAGCCTACAAATTACATCAAACTTACATTCAAATTTATGGTAAATCGTATTACCTCTCTATAAATTTTGAATACATTGGGTATAATACCCAACTCAGTATGACACAGCAGCATCTTTCATTTAGTCGCTGTTATAATCAGCTTCAGAAAGGGCCTTCTGATCATGATTAAAAGTCAAGTTTACATACCTAATTAATTAAAAAACCTCTGTAGAATGTAACTATATCATTTGCTTATTACATTAAATGTGAAATATTTGAAAGAAGCCTTCTTACAAAGATTTCCCTTTTAGCTTATTGAAAACTGCAACATTTCTGATACTTTGTTTGCTGCACACAGAGGTAACTTGGTAGTTGTCAATCAATTCATATTATTTTACGATTAATTTCATTAATAAGTATAATTAGATATGTAATTAGAATGTTGATAATAGTGGCATAAGACCTCAATTTTCTCCAAATAACATCTTTTTAAAGAAAGTTATAACAACTTAATAATATAAAAATGCATTTATTGGTAAATAACATCAAGAACTATACAGGGGAATTCTTTTTTGTCTCAAACAGAATCTCAATCTTAACAAATTGTGTTAGGAATGACTTTGCTGAAATTACTGATACATGCACCAAATATCTGATAAACATGTCAACACTATTCATTATACTTTCCCAGATACACATTTCATTTTATTAAGTCATCATGTATAGCACTGAAAGAAAAAGCTGCTGGCACCATTCTCCATGTCTGCTGATCCTGCCAACAGGTTCAAGTCTCAAGAACTTAAATATCACATTTATACATAAACTTGCATCCTCTTTTGGGAGATTTGTACATATGCACCCCATGAAAAAGGTGCCTAAATGAATATCATGATTTTTCACTGTTAAAAGATGATGAAAGTTTTTCTCTATTGATGACTTCTATTATTTTGCTGCGTTCCTCTTTGATAAAGCTGCTGCCAGGTCAGTTTGGAGTGCCTCTTGTTTTTTCATATCTCCTAGGGGAACAAATGAGCGTAGGCCATACACTATGTCGCGTGTTTTTCCAAAGTAAATCTCATTTAATGTGTTTCTAATTTTGTTTTCCATGTCCTGCAATAAAAACAAAATAATGAAATGCACAAAAGCAACAATTTGATACATTTCTTTTATACATAATCAAATAATGGTCTGAGAAATCTCCTCATTTAATACTTTTGGGAAATACTGTTACATCTTCAGGCCATTCCTAGTGTTTTGTTTTTGAGGTATGAAATTTGAGAAAAACACACAAAAATATCCAGACTTATAAAAATTTGTATCAATTTTAAAACTACGGGGATAGACATATAATTTTCATATAAGATTCTTTTATATTTTGAGGTCAAACAATGAAATTAGTATATACTTAGTTATTTTTGTTACAATATTAATAAAATTCTCAAATGATCATAATAAATGTTGTCATTATAGTTGTGGGTTTTTTTTATTGATCTGTGTTTATCTTCCTGATAAAAAGATTTTCATTTTTCGGTGGACACTAAACAGAAAAACAAGAGGCCCATGGGCCACATCGCTCACCTGAGCACATTGGCTAGGCAAAAGCACAATCAGTTCAGTATTGAAAAGACCGGGGGGGGGGGGGGGGGGGGGGGGGGGGGGCTTGAATTTTAAACTACCTGATGATGCTTCCATGTCAATATAACAAATGGCTTTGTTGTACTTGAGAAGATTTTTTAAAAAAAATTCCCATATATTCCTTTGTAAAAATTTGATCCATCATTGTGGCTCCTCCCTATCCCAGGGGTTATCATTTGAACAAACTTGAATCTACACTACCTGAGGATGCTTCCATATCAATATGACTAAACATAGCTTTTCTGTTCTTGAGAAGAAATATTTTTTCTATATGTTCTTATGTAAAACTTTCCATCCCCCATTGGGCCCTATCCTACCCCTGGGGGGGTCATCATTTGAACAAAATTGAATCTACACTACTTGAGGATGCTTCCATATCAATATGACTAAACATAGCTTTTTGTTCTTCAGAAGAAGATATTTTCCTTTATATTTCTATGTAAAACTTTGATCGTCCATTGTGGCCCCGCCCTACCCCTGGGGGTCATGGTTTGAACAAACTTGAATCTACACTACCTGAGGATGCTTCCATATAAATATGACTCATCATGGCTTGCTGTTCTAGAGAAGAAGATTTTTAAAGATTTTTCCTATATATTTCTATGTAAAACTTTGATCCTCCATTGCGGCCCAGCTCTACCCCCGGGGGTCATGGTTTGAACAAACTTGAATCTACACTACCTCAGGATGCTTCCATATAAATATGCCTCATCATGGCTTTGCTGTTCTTGAGAAGAAGATTTTTAAAGATTTTTCCTATATATTTCTATGTAAAACTTTGATCCTCCATTGTGGCCCCGCCCTACCCCTGGGGGTCATGATTTGAACAAACTTGAATCTACACTACCTCAGGATGCTTCCATATAAATATGACTCATCATGGCTTGGCTGTTCTTGAGAAGAAGATTTTTAAAGATTTTTCCTATATATTTCTATGTAAAACTTTGATCCTCCATTGTGGCCCCGCCCTACCCCTGGGGGTCATGATTTGAACAAAATTGAATCTACACTACCTGAGGATGCTTCCATATAAATATGACCAATCATGGCTTGGCTGTTCTTGAGAAGAAGATTTTTAAAGATTTTTCCTATATATTTCTATGTAAAACTTTGATCCTCCATTGCAGCCCCGCCCTACCCCCGGGTGTCACGATTTGAACAAATTTGAATCTACACTAACTCAGGATGCTTCCATATAAATATGACCAATCATGGCTTTGCTGTTCTTGAGAAGAAGATTTTTAAAGATTTTTCCTATATATTTCTATGTAAAACTTTGATCCTCCATTGTGGCCCCGCCCTACCCCTGGGGGTCATGATTTGAACAAACTTGAATCTACACTACCTCAGGATGCTTTCATATAAATATGACTCATCATGGCTTTGCTGTTCTTGAGAAGAAGATTTTTAAAGATTTTTCCTATATATTTCTATGTAAAACTTTGATCCTCCATTGCAGGCCCGCCCTACCCCCGGGGGTCATGATTTGAACAAACTTGAATGTACACTACCTAAGGATGCTTCCACATGAGTTTCATATTTCCTGGCCCTATGGTTCTTGAGAAGAAGATTTTTAAATGATGCCATTATTTTTTCAGTAATTCCTAATTATCTCCCCTTGAAAGAGGGCGTGGCCCTTCATTTGAAAAAAACTTGAATCCCCTTTACCCAAGGATACTTTGTGGTAAGTTTGGTTGAAATTGGCCCAGTGGTTCTTGAGAAGAAGTCGAAAATGTGAAAAGTTTACAGACAGACAGACAGACGGACAGACAGACGGACGCCGGACAAAATGTGATCAGAAAAGCTCACTTGAGCTTTCAGCTCAGGTGAGCTAAAAATTTGGAATGGCTCAAGTGCAAGTAAAAAATTCCAAGAAATGTTTTCATATATTTATATTCTTACTTTATGATATCACTTCACATATTAAACAACTATGTCAATGAAGACAACGTTAATTATGTGCAAAGGGAGATAACTTTGCTATCCTTTTACTGTGCTACTCCAGCAAATTCAGTTAAAATTTGTTCAGATAATGTTTTGAATCTTGATCTGAAAGCAATGTATCTTCTCACCTCTATCATTCTTCCAATATTGACAATATGAGGAGCAGCATCACTGACGGTGGCATCGTGTTCCACCTGACGCGTCAGGCTTCCTCCGAGGTTCATAACTCCCGAGGCATCCTTCGTGGTCTGCAGCCATAACATCACAGTGGATGTTAGTTTATAATGGGCACTTCTCCCACTTGATTTCTCCTGTATAGGAAAAAATATCACAAATTGAAATATCATCCAATTTGAATGAAGTTACCTAAAATCTTTAACAATTTAATACCTTCCATTACCCTCTAGCTAAGTAATTTCACAATGTTCAAACTCAAGAATTCATTTCTATCATTTTAACCATCCTCTTTCTACAAATTGAATACAAAGTCCACACATTGAAAGGTACATTAAGCTGTTGCATTCATGTGTTGAAAGATACCCAAACAGAACATTCAACAGACAACTCAAATACTGATATCTTTTTCTTTCTTTTCTGTAAAGACAAAGAAATCTCCATCGGGACATCTTGCCTTCCACAATCCATACTGAACCTGTGAAGCTTTTGTTACCAACCTGAACTTCAACAACATGAATTGAATCCCAACAGCCCTTAATTTTCTTGGATCCATCTCCTGCTTTTTTGATTAATATAACTCCTGCAAAGCCATGATCTAGATCCCAGAGGTATACTGATGAAACCCCTCCTTCAAAGTACCTGAGACAACCAAAAAAAAAAAATCATCCTGAGTCTTCCTTCAAGTGCCATGTTGTAAATATATTATTATAGCCAAACTTTTTCTAACACCAAGTTGGGGCATTTCAGAAAGTTTGAAATTTAAAATGTATGGCATTAATATATCACATTTTTTACAATTTACAAAAAATGTTTTTAAAAAAAACACTTAACTTATATATCTTAGCTTATAAATCCATATTTCCAGAATAATATATGAATTACATCGTATAGCGGGTTTCTTTAGCGGGTGTAAAATTTGGCGTTTTGCTTGCTCAAAGGTATGCTAATAATTTTGGCGGAACTTTTTTTGGTGGACAGAGTGTTCTGTGACATTGCAAAAGAGAGGAAATTCATCTTTTAGATAAGTTTCAGTACATTTAATATATGTTTGAATACCGACTTAAACAAAAGTTTGAGTAAATAAAACACCAGATGAAAGTTATTTTGCTTATACAATAGACTAATCAAAGTTATTTAAAAGATTTTCCTTGTATTTAGTAGTGATAAAGAAGAGTGCAAATTTGGCGATTAAAATTTTAGCAGCTTCCTACAAAACCACTAAAATAAGCCAAAGTTAGCACCCCGCTGAAAATACCCGCTATACGTTTTTTTTTTTTTTTTTTTTTTTTTTTTCTCAGAAATATGGCAGATGCCTACATTTCCCTATACTGATCAAAGGCAGTGTTGGCATCAATCTCCAGTTTCCGTAACCTGTCTGAAGGCAGGGTACCATCATCCAAAGGTGGATCATAGGAATTACTCCAGGGGGACCTAAAATGAAAATAGAAAAACTGAAAAATAAAAACTAATCTTATAAATGTATATATATATATATATATATATATATATATATATATATATATATATATATATATATATATATATATATATATATATATATATATATATATTGCACGACCTAGAGAAACGCAAACTCTATCAACCCGAAAGCAACTGGGAACCTGCACCGGGCAAATGCGTAGCCCTTGAGTCAATTAATCACTCAATACCGATTTACTTTGTCCATAAAAAAAAAGATCTATATGAAATACTTTACAAAGAACAATTACTCCCAGTTCTGGTCCTTGTTCACAGTTTATAATGTTTGACCTTACCTGTATGAATCTCCATCTCTGTTATAGTCACATAATAAATAATCTTTTCCTAGCTGTTTGTCTCTAGCAATCTTCAGAGGTTGATCAACTGATGAAAGTAAATCTTCACAAAGATTTGGAACCTGTAAGAAATAGAAGATTTGTTGGTAGCAAGAGAAGCAAATGCTGCTTTTTTAGTGAGCTCTACAGAGTATTGCAAGGTAAGGTAGGAGAAAAAAAAAATATTAACAGCTCAAAGAATGTTATGCAAACACAAGGACATGCAATACTTTATAAAGTCTAGGCTTATCAACAACACTCTTCAACTGAATTTAGGACACTCTAAACACTGCAAACTAAAGAATTATAACATTCCATGGTACTTTTATGCAGTTGCAGTGATCTACCCTTTGATTAAAAATTGGACGTAAAAACTAAAACCTAATAATGTACTCAGTTTGAAATCAATTTCAGTAATATAAACTTTACTGGACAAAGATGACTTTATTTTATTTGATAAATAAATTATATTGCTGTTGAAAAGTAAGGCTTAAAAAATTACCAGTATGTTTGTTTCCTTTACATTCCCAAAAAATCAAGGGTCAGTAGGTCGTGATTTTTTTTTAAGCTAATGAATAATGGGATTAAACATACCCTGACTGAATTAACCAAGTGTGATATTTACAGTGGACACCTAACATAGCTGTCTAGCGGCAGAAAACGAACTTCAAAAAGTTGTGGAGAAAAATCTAATTTATCTTGAAGTTACAATAATGATTACCCTTTATATTTAAGGTAAATGTTGACTAGGTTGACATATTTTATATCTCAAATAAAGCTACAATTAACATTTCTTGTATAAATTAAATCAGCTGATCGATCAAACAGATTTGGCAGGAAAAAAAATCCACTCAAGGGTAATTTGAATGGGTCTGTCGGGTAACAGGAAACAAACATAATTTTTTTAGGCCTATTAATGAATTAAATCCTTGTTTAAAAAATGTAACAACAGGAATCAGGAATATTTACGAATTTCCTGCTGCAAACTATCTATGTAATCTCCCAACCGAAAAGTGGACTAAGAGACCCAATTTAATTTTAACACAGTTTTTTGTAAGTCAAGGTCTTACTAGATCAATCAAATCTGTCAGATTCTTTTCTATCTGTTGAGGTGGAAGTCTCCTCATCAAATCTAATGCACAATCCAGCTGCTGTTCGGACTACAAAATATATAATAAATATAAAATGTCAAGTTAACTTATGCTTATTCATGCAAAAATATCATATAATCAGTAACTTTTTAAAATTACTATTTATATGACCAAATATGGGCATACATGATGACCATACAGGAAATAAACTGGAGAACTGAATGACATACTTTAGATTCATAAGAATACCAAGTCTTTATGCAATGCTTACATAAATTATTATGAAAATTGCCAAATTGGATTTTTACCCCCTCAAATCCCCCAACTTCCTATTCTGCTTTCATTATCAAAGAAAAAAGGGCGTTTTATGTCTCTACCATCAACTTTTTGATAACATTACTGATAACACTTTACATCATTGCAAAAATAACATTGTCATCAAAATTGAATTTAATAAAAAATCTTAGATAAAGTTTAAAGAAAACAAACCATGTTGATTCCTGTTAAAGCCGGACAAGTTAAAGTTCAGGAAGAAATCGATTTAAGATCTCCGCAAACTTCCGGAGAGGAGGTTAGAATGTTATACTTTGCATTATCCAATGAAGTGCAGCGTTTCGTCAGCTTCATGACATAAATTTCCCGCTATAAATAAAAATGCGTTTTCTCATGAACACGATTTAACACTATCTGATGAATAAATCTTCATAAAATGAAATTTATTCAAATCTTTTATATAAGATATTAATTGTTTTAAGTGTGAGCATTAGTTAAATAGGAAAAATGCATTTTTAACGTCAAAAATAAAAGTTTTTAAATGATGCTCTGTAATCACGTGACTTCCGGTTTAAGTTGTAAACATGGAGGAACTGAGTAAGCAGTGAGGAATTACAGTGTGATTGAACCGCTCAAAACTTGACCCATTTAATATCAAACTTAAGTATGTGTTTACATTAGTTACTGGTTTAACTGTTTCAATTTATTTAAACACTGCATGTAATCGTCAAGACATTTAAATGCTAGAACTGATGTGGATCAGTACAAGGGCATCAAGTGTTTGAAGATGTCTTTGACAGAAGCTAGACTGAAAATTGACGTACTGTCATTTATTCTACTATTTTAAGTGCATTAGAACAAAGAAAATGTTTTTTATTTTAAAAAATAAGATCTTTAATTGACTTTGGAATGTGTTTAAATTGGCTCTTGATATATACTTTGTAGAGAGTTAATAGGGTGTGGTATGGATTATCAGTCCTGTGTTTACAAAGAATAATGTTGCTATTTTCATAAGTAATATGTCAAATAAAACCGTTAAAATGAGCGCAGTTTCATTTTTATAATAATTTTTAATCAATGACTCAATCAGGGTTTGACATTAACTTTTACGAGTACTAGATCAGTTCGGCTACTTCCCATAATTTTTACTAGCCCTGACTGTAAAATCACCAGCCCTGACCAAACCTGCTAATTTAATTCTTATAATCACTAATTATAATAAGGTAATTTTGAAATCATCTCTAGCGCGTGTCAAGAATTTGATAGACAAGCCAATTGAGTGTTTTCATCAAGACATGAGAATATCGTAAGCTTTAAAGATAATTCAACAAACTTTAGTAAAATTTTTATCTTAAATATTTATTTAATAATTTTATTACAGAATATATTTTTTCAGACTATTTATACAATATTGATACTGAACGATGCTTGTTTCTACCACAACTCGTCTATTACAGCCGTGGCTGTATTTTCATGACCAATCTCTAAACGTGAGAAAAAGTACAGTACAATCTGCTTGCATGAAATGAAATATGGGTGTGATTGACGGGAAAATATATTACTTTTACAAAATTATAAGCTCTTACTATTTTTTAATTAATGTGTGTGTTTGGGGGGGGGGGGAGGAAGGGTCGATGCACACTTCAGGTGCCTGTGTCTAAAATAGTGATTGTGTCATACAGGGATTTTTTTTTCTTTACCATGTTGAATTATCTTTAAAGCTTACGATATTCTCATGTCTTGATGAACACATGTATTTACAATCAGACAAATAAGTAAATTTCTTAAAAAGTTTTTTGAATATTTATTTGGAAGACTGAAATGGAATTTAACAGTTGTTTTATCAACACGACCAACTAGTCTAGTTCATGTACATTTTACATGTCCGGACCACTCATTTACTAGACTGGGTTGGTCAGATGTGCCTTAGTGTCAAACCCTGCCTATAATTTTTTTTTTGCAACTCTCTCTACATCTCAGAAATGTTGCCCTGCATGCTTGTAATGACGTTATAATGTTCATTATATTCCTGTAGCCTGCATTTACTGCATCTTGAAATTCTTTCTTTTTTTTTTTTAATAATATTTATGATTGATAAAGAAATATTCAAATACTATCTACACTCCCTTTGCATTGATATTGAGATGTTTAACTTCTCAGATTTTTCAAAATCATTAATACCTGAGCCATTTAAGTGATGAAAATATGATGTCGCATGCAAAATCATTTAGTGAGGATGCAAGTGATTGATTTGTGGCATGAAAATTGCATCAAATCCTTGTTTATACCGGTAACTTTTTTCAAGCAAGTTGTTGCTATATGCTTAAGCCACCATGTTTCTATGCACTGCAAAGGATTATTGGGAGTTTAGAAGTTTTCACATGGACTCATAAAAATTTCTTTGAACAATGTGTAGATTCAATCCTGAATTTCCTCCATTCTTACAGGTTGTCATTATAGAGCTCACACCATGCTGGAGAACTCGATCTGTAGTATATCCAGCAGTATTAGATTGTGTAAAAATCATGGCATTCAAAAATTATTATTTAGTGTTGTATTTTGAGGGAAAACCCAAAGACCTATAAAATTGAGTTTTGATTTACATGTTACAATCTAATATAAAAATTACACATACCAGAATGATGGTAATTTTATTTTATGAAATTTTATTAAATATAACCAGAATAAACCACATGATATTTGGGCAATCGATCAAGGGCAAAGGAGGATTGAGGATGAATGGAATATCTCTCTTCTGTTTGATATTCTTTTCTCTGTTCCACATGTAATATGTTTATGCTATTGCTCTAGATTTAGATAAACTGTACTTTAGCGTAAACTCCATTTAAGGCCCTCATAAAAAGGTATATAGTTCTTTGTAACCAAAGTTTGGAAATGAATTCAGGTAGACCATCACTGGGGAAAATTTGGGGGGGGGGGGGGGGGTGTAGACTAAGATGTTGATTTTGCAATACATGTTTACCTGTATGTTGTCAAAATCCTGGGTAAGTGGGAAGACACGCATTCTGCATGCCATAGACAACATTGCTAACCTTTCTTTACTGGTACAATATAATTTAACAAAGACAAGATCATTTCTAGTTTTTTATTCACTTGTACCAAATAACAGTACATGTATTGTATTCAATGCAAATAAACTATTCCAAGTAAAATAGTCTTTTTAATGAGGATAATAAGCCTACCTACCTACCCACTATAAAAATTATGGGTTGACAACTGCAAACAGAGTTCTTAAAGCTTTTCCTACTTTAAAAGTATGAATATTTGCAACAATTTGAAAAGGAATTTATTTTTTAAAATGAATTTTAAAGCCAAAATTTCTTTTACTTATTTTCTATCCTTTTTTGTTAAAAAGAAGCAAAAAATCTGGCAGTGCTAAAGCTTGAGCTGTTTCTTTTTGTTTTCTCTCTTTTTCCCCCTCCTTTTTTTTTTTTTTTTTTTTTTTTTTTTTTGAAGAGTATCAGACGGGGAGTCAGCAGTTTTAGGATAAACTATCAATTATACATTCTGCAATCTCCTATATAATATTACAATGTACATGTTTTCAAGAACATTTCATTTAACTGCTCTCATAAGAACTCTTAAGTAATAAAAAATCAATATTGTTCTTTTAGCCTGCAGACAAGATAATTTCACCTTTATTTTGCAGACATCTTGCCAGGATGCCAATACAGGAGAATGAGGATCATGATGCAGTGCGCATGAAAGTTGGATATAATGGGTGAGTGTAAAACTGAACTTTTCATATGAAAAATTGAATTCTTAAAAGGAATATTATTTTATTTCTACTGTCACCTTATATAACAAAAAGGGGGGGGGTATCTTTATCATCTTTATTCTGAATGTCTGAAAACACCCAATAATTTAAAATTTTTTAAAATATTAGCTTGAGTGGACAAACCAATCTTGATTGAAAAGGATTCCAGCTGTTTGATGAGAGATAATTAATATTGAAAAAGCTTCAATATGTAATGTGTATTCTGGACAGTTCCACTCAGAGAGCTGGGGTTGGGAGATACTTGGGGTCATGTTAAAAATCCCCAGTCAGTTTTAGATACAATCAAGTAAAAGTTTTGCTAATATTTCCATTTAAGGAATGGTCATATGTGTTTATTTCTAAATTGTGTGTATATTTTGGATTTGATATGACAGTGAATACAAAGATAAACAACTATGCTAGCAGTGCTTTTTAAAGGTCAAAAGGTCAACTCAGTGAAGTTTTATACAAAATTACAATTAATTTTTTTTCTCTAAGATATAGAAAATAATATGCAATTTACAGAGACATTCTCATCACAAGTATCGGACCAGACATAGCCTATGCAGATTTCTGTCTGGAGATAAAAGACATATGTAAATTTGATGATCAGCAACCATTTACAGTCAAATGGCTGGATGAAGAAGGTGAGCCATTAATTTGGTTGCTTCTTTTTTTTTTTAAGTATGGAAAGAAAATCTTTTATTCAAGTTTTTGTCATTGAAATTGATGCAAAATTCATATATTAATGAGAAATTAAATTTTATTAAGTATTCATTGTCAATAGATTCACATATAGCCTTTATTTTACAGCATTCTGTACATGCTTATGTTTATTTTACAGTCTATTCTATACCTTTAATTTTACAGTGTATTCTATACCTTTATACCTTTATTTTACAGGTGATCCCTGTACCATATCCTCCCAGGTAGAGCTGAATGAGGCTATTCGCCTATACGATCTGAACAAAGACTCAGAACTGACCCTCCATGGTAGGTTGGATTTCACTTATGACACTTACTTAAGCTTGATTGTTAAACAATTATATACACATTACATTATTTGTAATTTTCCTCTTTCATTCTGTCATTTCAGTCTTTCCTAACGTACCGGAGAGACCGGGGATGCCATGCAGAGGAGAAGACAGTAAGTTTTTGATGTGAAGATACAAACATTTTTAATTCATGAATAATTATTATACCCCCGCTCCGAAGGAGAGGGGGGTATACTGTTTTACCCTTGTGTGTCTGTCTGTCTGTCTGTCCATAACAAATTTTAGTTGCAGTTTTCTCAGCAACTACTCATTGCAGATGCTTGAAATTTTAGCACAACCTTTGTTTAGGCATTCCATATGGTGGGATTCATTTTTGTACGAATCTGATGTCAACTTCCTGTTTATCCGTGCCTCTGTCCATAGCATACATAACAAATTTTCGCAGTTTTCTCAGCAACTGCTCATTGCAGATGCTTGAAATTTTAGCAGACCCTTTGTTTAGGCATGCCATATAGTGGGATTCATTTTTGTACAAATCTGATTTCAACTTCCTGTTTATCCGTGCATTTGTTCATACCATACATAACAAATTTTGGTCGCATTTTTTTCAGCAACTACTCATCGCAGATGCTTGAAATGTTAGCACACCCTTTGTTTAGGCATGCCATATGATGGGATTCATATTTGTATGAATCTGATGTCAACTTCCTGTTTATCTGTGCATCTGTCCCTACCATACATAACAAATTTTGGTCACAGTTTTCTCAGCAACTACTCATCGCTGATGCTTGAAACTTTAGCACATTCTTTGTTTAGGCATGCCATATGGTGGGAATCATTTTTGTATGAATCCAATGTCAACTTCCTGTTTATCCGTGCGTCTGTCCGTACCATACATAACAAATTTGGGTGGCAGTTTTCTCAGCAACTACTCATCACAGATGCTTGAAATTTTAACACACTCTTTGTTTAGGCATGTTATATCTTGGGAACCATTTATGTACAAATCTGATGTCAATTTCCTGATTATCACTGTGTCTGTCCATAACTGAACTTATGTATTCACATCAGAGCGGGGTATTATTAGTGAGCACTAGCTCACAGACTTCTTGTTATGAATTATTTGCATTAATTATTCAGCACTCATTTAAATATTGTTAATTTGACCTCTTTACAAAAGGAAATATGTACAGAAAAGGTGCAAGAAGATGGAGAAAATTGTATAGGATTAATGGACATCTCTTTCAAGCAAAACGTTTCTCCAAGGTAATAATTATAGAAAGATAAATTTTTTTAAAAAATTATTTTGAAATAATCCAGTATAATTTGTTTATTTTGAAATAATTCAATTTAATATGTTTTGAGCACTTATTTCCTTTTCTATCCAAAGTTATTCAAGCCAAAACCAGTAAGCTACAGTCTCAACAGAGACTTCTGATCACATACTGTATACAGGGAAGTTTTTGCTCCTGTTTTATTTTGACCCCTTTCTCCCTACTCACAGGTGGGCAAATTTAAAATGGGGCGAATTAGAAAAACACTGTATAATTTCTTAGCAAGAATTGTGATTGGGCAAATTTAAAACGGAGCAAAATTGTTTGCAAGTATGAAACGGCAACAATAACATGGGACAAAAATAACACTGTATACAGTATATTGAATTCTAATTTTCTCTGACAAATCTGTGTTCTTTTCCAGAAAGCTTTCTGCTCCTTTTGCTCTGACAGAATCTGGGGATTAGGACGTCAAGGGTTTAAGTGCATTCAGTGTAAAATAGCTGTCCATAAGAGATGTCATAAGTACCTGAAGGTTGTGTGTGGAGCCCCAGTTATTGTAAGTCACTGTTCTAAACCAACTACAGAGTAAATGGGAGTCTTAATTTGAAACAAGTTAAATATCACATTGTGGTTGTCTCAGGGGCTGACAATTAGTTTTTCAAGTTCTTGCCCATGGGCTAGTACATGGTCAAAATTCACTTGCCCTACCTGAATTTTTACTTGCCCCACCATAAACTATGAAAATAGGAAGACAAAAAATGATTATTACAAGTGCCCATTTCCACTTAAAACTAAGACTTATTATATTTTTTTTCTTGAAAAAGTCACTTGCCCTCGGGCAAGTGGTTAATAAAAATTCACTCGCCCATCCCCAAAATTCACTAGTCCCAAGCATCGGGCAATGGGATTTGTCAGCCACTGTTGCCTGCTATTTTGTGAAAGATATATGGTTTTGTTAAATTACTCGTATTTCGTGAATAAGTTGTATCCTTTAAAAATTAGACTGGAGCTAAACCTGAACCAAGAGAGGATGTCAAACGGAATTTACCAGAACTTCAGAATCTGTCAATGAAAGAGCCTAATGGCCACCCAACACGTAAGTCAGCTCAGAACAGGGATCTACTGTCTCTGTTAATAAGCCATTCACCGTTTCAAAGTTGAATCTTAAGTGGAATATGAAGCGAATTTTTTAAATATAATTTGACATAGAATTAGTACAATATACATTTCTATGTTTTGCTTTCAGTTTCAGAGAATGGAACTTCAATAGAAATTGGAGGGAAGGAGGTAAGTTTGTTGTTGAAAAAGTTAAGAGGGATTTTAGAAAGCTGTTCAAATAATACTCTCATAATCAACAGATTTTTAAGTTTTTGAAATGACCATTGATGTGTTACTTTGCTGACATACATACATATATTAATGTAATTATATAAGGGTTTTTGTGGAGATATATATAAGGAAATGCCTTCTATTCTTGTATATTAAGAGTTTATTGTCATAACAGTTGACAGAAGAGAGTGAAGTTGATACAGAGGTAAAGAGAACATTTATTATCTCCCTTGGACATGTATGTTGTCTGAAGAAATGAAAAAATATCTTGAGATATGAGATAAGAGCAATATAGATAGTCTGCATATTTCTGTCTTGCTGTAATAATGTGGTGTGAAATAGTCTTGCTATTTCAATTATTGTTGGGAAAAGGGATATTAAAAGAGAAAAAAGGGGAAAAGAAAAAGGGAAAAAAAGACATTTATTATATCAACATTTTGAATGATTTAACTGATGTTAGCTTGTTTGTGTGGAATCTTTGTTGTGTATACTTGGTAGATAGTTTTTGGATGATGTATTTATTGAGTTAATCGCCTTGCCCTTCATGTTGGAGGTCAACATTGCAAATTTTTTTTTCTGATGAACCAAATTTAAACGTGTGGCAGAATGGGAAAAAAATCTTTATAATATAAAAATAATGAATTAAGGAGGCTATAATAAACATATATTCTTCAGAAAAACAATATTTCTAACCTCATTTGCCAGTATGACAAGTTTATATTGGTTGAATAATGAAGAAATCTGAGCATGTTGACCTCCAATATGGTGGCCAAAAGGAAATACACCACTGACCATGTAAATTTTGCTAAATTTACATCGATCCAAAACTTTATTATAGTGGTGCCTCTGCTGGCATGCATGCTATTTTGAAAATTTTATTTGAATGTTGAATACAGGTAGAGCTTCATGGACACGTAGCTCAACCATTATAAGGAGAAAATTTTGTCTCTGTTTACATTTTGGGATGTTCAGGATGCTTAAGTTTATTTCCTATGTGGACATTCTTAGGAAGATAAGGCTTAAGTTTATTGCTTTTGTGAGCACTGTCTGGAAGTTAAGGATTAAGTTTATTTCCTACGTGGGCACTCTCATGAAGATAAGGCTTAAGTTCAAACTTTGTCCTCCTCAATAACAGCAGAAGAATATTTTGTGTTAAGACAGTTTTTAGGGATCAGTCACAAGCAGAGGGGATGACAAAAATTTTATTTTAAGCTTCATATTACGAGATAAAAAAAATCAACTTACATCTAACATTGATTTTTTTTTTAATGCCCATGCCATTTAATTACATGTAGTTTTTCCATGAATTGATGTGTTGTTTCTACTCTAGAGCCACAATATTTGATGTATCCATGTAATAAAAAGAAAAATAAATGACTGTTGCATGGTTTACACTGCCTGTTTATCATTGCATTTCTGTCGTCACATCATCTTCAGTCTTAAAAAAACATTTGCTAGTCTTAATGATTTTAAGTCTAATATGTATGATTTTTCAGTATTTTTTTCTTATTTATCATAAAAAAATGTTATTCTTAAGTAATTATTTACCTTTTTTATGGGATCCAAAAAGGAGACATCCCTTTGAGTATACTGGATTTATATAATTCATACAGGATAGAAACTTTATAAAACAAAAGTTTTTTTGTACATGGTAAATCAATGATTTTTTAACAATAACCATTAAATGAGAAATGTAAGAAAACAAGGGAATGTAATTGTGTGTTTTATTATTTTCAATATCCAGGCCCAGCCTGCAGTACAGGTAATTTTGCTGTCGGATGCTGCAGTGAGATATCATAATTATGTCACTTCACTTCATACAGATCCAGAAAAATATTGTGTTTTTATCATTTTGTTTGAAGATCATATGCTGGAAGCAATTTTTATCTCAGTCACTCAGCTGACCACTTGCTTTACATTTTACATATATGCATGAACTTTCCAATTTTTCTGCTCCAGAACTACATTAGTAAAACATCAATGTTAGTGAGACTTGCCTTAAAGCATCCTGAATTGATGGATTTAAGTTTGCTCGAAAAATTATGTACCATGCCCTTTTTCAAAGAGAGATAATTAAGGATAGAGAAAATAGGATGTAGTCATTTGAATATATTTCTCTTATGAGCCAAAGAGTCAGAAATGATTAAAAAAAAATTACGTAAGTACATGGTAGCTTCCTTATTTTGTAAAAAATAATTTTCTTCCTATATGATGGCCCCTTAAGCCAGGATTGAACCATGACATGGGTCCAGATATAGAGAAAAAAAAAATTAAAATTCCAGTTCTCAAAAATTAGAAGGCTACATACTGTCAAGCCTCTTTATAGATTGTTTTGTTCAACTGTGCTCTCTAGGGCAAGCCAAGAGCATGTCATAGGACAAAAATTTTATAATCTATTACAGCAGTAGGTATTAAAAGTTAAACTTACATAAAATTTTGTCAGCTTGACAATTGGTCAGATTGTTAAACAATTATGGAAAGATCCTCATGGAATTTATTTACTTCATGGTGCTTGGGTCAGGTTGGGGCTATATAGATTTCAAAGGAGTAGGTAGAAGGGAAAAAACTATTTGGTATATATGTATGATACTTACCGTAAGTGATTGTAAAGGCCTTTCATCCTTTTGTTATGCATTTGTATCAAAGATGTTGTAGGCCACATTTATTTTTAGTTTTTTTTTTGTGCTTATTGTTGTCAGAAGTATATAAGTTCTTCAATATAGATTTGTACAAATGATGTGAAGCTGCTAAAGGATCAAATTTGTTCATAAATATGTGTATACTTCATTTTTCTGGATCTGCACATTTATCTGTTGCCTTTCATATTACCTGGTACTCATTTTAAAATGCCTAGACAATGAAAACATTTTTATATTTCATAAACAGTGCAATATGAATCAGAGTTTAAAAAGTAAAGTTTTTATATTCTGTGTCAGCAGAATCTCTGCATGAGATGGAGATAACCAGCCATCTTCCTGTGTTCTCATTACACCATGTTTATAACACACCGCTTTACCTGTCCAGGTGCACTATGTGACATTATATAGGCTATGCATGTGAAACAGAGTTCATTATTCAATTGTTAATCATTGTTATCAGTTATTGCATTGCTTTACCTAAGCAGTTTGTAACAAATTTACATAAGGAATTTGTAGCATATATTTCTGTATCAGCGCTTGTAAGGAAACATTTTAAATAAGGTTACATATGTGTCAGTTTCATGCCTCAGAAATCAAAGATTGGAAAGGGCAAATTGTTCTCCTCTAGCGTACATTTTTCAGTCTAAAGGACGGACCTTGGAACTTTGAAAATATTCAAGAATTTATTGATACACTGAAACTTCGTTATCTCAAACTCGACGGGACAGAGGTAAAAACTTTGAGATATCCAAGGATTTGAGAGTTAAATACTTATAGAATATGTGACTGGGACTTCCAAATCCCTTCAACATATCCAATTTGAGATATCAGTGTTCGAGATAGCGAAGTTCAACTGTATATTGTCATTTGTAAAACAATGCTTACTAATACTCAAATATTTTGTTAAAATGAATAAGTACAGGTAATCAAATTCCATCACTTATCAACAGATTTATGTTTGATATTACTAAAAATGTTCATTATATTTCAGACAACAAATGGAACAGACTCGCAGCAAGTGACTCTTGATCAGTTTGAACTTCTGAGAGTTATCGGTCGTGGAAGTTACGCAAAAGTCCTGATGGTAGAACAGAAACGTACAAAACGTGTCTACGCAATGAAAGTCATCAAGAAGGAACTTGTCAATGAGGATGAGGTATGAAAAAGAATAAATGGAAGTCACTGTGTAGTTGAAAAGATTAGAAAAAGTTCAGATCTGGAAGAATTGAATAGACACTGATTGTATCTTTGAAATTGAAATAAATGTTAGATTGAGATGATAAGATGTTTTCAGAAAGTACATGACAGTTAAGGGTAAGATGATTTCTTAAAGAATAATGAAGGAAATTTCAGCTGGTTTAAAACTATTATTTTCAAAAGTTGGAAATCAGACATATTTTAGAAATTGCTGGCAGTAAAACTGTTATATCAGAAGCCTTTTCTGTGTTAAAGGATATAGACTGGGTGCAGACAGAGAAGCATGTTTTTGAGACAGCCACCAATTACCCATTCCTTGTGGGCCTTCATTCCTGTTTCCAAACTCCCAGCAGGTAAAAAAAAATATCAACTACAAATTTTGAACATACGTGTAGTGCTATCCTTTTCTTTAGGAAAGTAAATTTAGAATATTTGGCAAAATGGCAAAATCATTGTTTAACCAGATATTTCAGTTAAGTTATTAATGTTGAATGCAGCCAAAAAGTATGTAAAATTATGTGAATGGTTTACATGGGATATGTTTTTAATGTTATGCAGTCAAGTTAATAAATTTATTTTGTTTGCAGATTGTTTTTTGTAATTGAGTTTGTGAGTGGAGGAGACCTTATGTTTCACATGCAGAGACAGAGGAAGTTACATGAGGAGCATGCTCGGTTCTACTCTGCCGAAATCTGCTTAGCTCTTAATTTCCTTCATGAAAGAGGTTATATCCCTGTGTAGTGACAGAAACTACTCAGATTTTTGTGAAAGTGTATACTTGTAGTTTGATTTTAAGATAAATTTTGTTTTATCAGGCATTGTATACAGAGATCTGAAGCTGGACAATGTGTTGCTGGACCATGAGGGACATGTGAAACTGACAGATTATGGCATGTGTAAGGTAAGCTCTCAGGAGGAAAATGTAGAAGGTGTAAAAAAAATATATATAAATTTAATTAAAACATTTTATTCATGGAAATGAATATGGTTAAGCAATTGGCAAAATCTATAAATGTTCTCTGTACAAAAGGTACAGAGGTTAAATTATTGTACTGAGTAAATTATCTGAAATGGCTGAGAATAACCAGAGGAAATTCAGTTTGAGATTACCTAGAATAAACTGTAATAAATAATGAAGTTAAGGTTCCTTTAGGCATAAAAAGGAAATTTTTAAAGTTGTCTGCAAAATGTTCTCTCCATTTCAAGAAAGAGGAGCTTCCTTGATGTGAAAACTCCTGTAAAATATTTTTTCCAATCATTATTTGATTTTGAAATGTGCAAAACTTGTCAGGTTGGCGAAATGTTCTTGATTAATTCACAACAGATTTCTATGCAATACTTTGATTTCAACAAAATATTATAAATTATTGTCATGTAAGCAGCTTGGATTATATGAAATATCAAGATAAGGATTACGATGAAATGTGAAAATTAAAATTTAATCCTGATACCTAGAAAATGGGATAAAATAGGAGGTGGAGGGTCTGTGCTTAACTTGTATGTTGTATATTTCATAAAAATAAAGGATGGATTGCGACCAGGTGACACTACATCAACATTTTGTGGAACGCCTAATTATATAGCACCAGAAATTTTACAAGGACATGATTATGGTATGTTCTGTGTTTGGCTTAGCCACCTGTAGGTCTGAGCTTGGGTCAGTTCCTCCTTCTATTAAGGGAGGTAACTCCTGGGCTCAGCCTACTGGAGATAGTGGTAGGGGAGATTAATGTGGCTTTTTTTCTGCCTGTTCCCATAGGAGGGCCTGTGGGCTGGAGACAGCACCAGTACATTTTGTGGAACCCCTAATTATATAGCCCCAGAAATCCTCCGTGGGGAGGATTATGGTAAGCTTCTTACTAACACTTAACAATCTTCCAGGGGCCCAGGCAAGGGAAATTTGTTACTCACAGAAAGATATGACTATGAAACTTTTAGAAAAAGAAATCTGGAGAGTGTCCAGTATGAGACTACTTTACCAACAATGAAAAAGGAATTATAGTTTCATTCTCATATGTATTCATGTTAGTGACATTCCATTCCCTCTTGGGACACCCCTGGTTGTTTTTTTTTTCTCTTCTTGCTTTTCTGTAATGTGTTTTCTCACCTTAACAGGAAGGGCTGTGGAGTGGAGACAAAACCAATACGTTTTGTGGAACTCCCAATTATATCGCACCAGAGGTTCTCCGAGGAGAGGACTATGGTATAGATGAAAAATCTGCCGTGCTTGGTCATGAAGTTAGACCAGATTATATTTCAAGTGAAAATTATTATGTCATTTCACAAAAATGACCATTGAGATTGCCAAATATTTTAATTTTTTTTTTCAAAATAAAGAAAAATAAGTGAAAATTTAACAGTACATGTACCTGAAAAATGATCTGGATCATTGCACAGCTTGCGGCATTGAGTTTTATACCCCCATACTATTACAAGGCATGCATCATTTTATGCATAAAAATGTATATTTAAATTGGAAAAGTACTAGATAAGTGTACATGTTGGGTCATATATTTTACTGATTTTATCATTAAAATGCCTACAGATCTTTCAAATTAAACTAAGAAGCTGAAATTCATATACAAGTTTCATATTTTACAATTAAAATCCCAAAAAAATCCATGTATTTAAATGCATCAAAGCCCTATTGATCTATGAACGAATGGGTTGGAATCCATAGTACAATTGTGTTGTTCCGTAAAATCTATTTCTAAAAAACATATCAAAGAATTACTAATTTATTAATAAGAGGCATGCATATTTAATAAACAGTCTGACATGCAATAAAGTGGTACTGGTGTTGGGGGTATGGCATGGATGTATTGTTTATGTTTAAGTTGTGTTCCTTTAAAGTAGAAAGTTGATGAAACATGTTTGAAAGAACCTTGTTTTATGCATTTGTTGTGACAAAGTAAAAATGCATAACAGTAAATGAAATTTATATGATTGTTAATTATAAGGCTTAACATGATCTTTCATGAACAAAAAGCAATGGAGAATAGTTCTGCATTTTGATGCATTTTGTTGATTTGCTACCAAGTGTATATCACTTCAAACATAGAATGTGCAGATCAAAACATAGTACAGTTAAACTTCAGTATCTGTAACATCTGTATCTCAAATACTGTGGATATATCCCTACCACTTTTTCATTAGGCCATGATAAAATAAAATTCCTAGATTCTCATCCCCAAAGTATGAGAATCTAGGATTTTTTTAAAATATGTCCTTATGTACATGTATTTTAATCCTGATATCTCAAATTCTCAGATGATTCAAAGTTTGTTTGTTTGTCCCCCCCCCCCCCCCCTTCCTCGAGTTCAAGGTAATGAAGTTTGACTGTATATGACAAAAGTGCACTTTCATGCTCACATACAATTACAGAGCTAAGATTTCATGCTTAAATCATTCCTGTTGATCCATTTTATATGTACGCTAGTCAGTTCAGAATGATCCTTCCAATTGTTTTCTACTCATTTAGTGTGAACAGGAATATAGCGAATTCACGGATATAGCGAAGTTATTTAAATCCCTGGAGAAATTCTTAACAAATTCTCTGAAAATATTATGGTTATAACGAACTCTGATATAATGGATTTAGCGAACTGATTTTCTGTCCTGTAGAGGTTAAAAATAAAGAAAATTACATCTTTTAAAACAAATTTCAATATCTTGAAAATATTAAACTGACATAACCTATATTTGGTAGTCATATATGAAGGAAAAGATGCATATTGCGAATTCATTATATGTACTTTAATGAATTCGTCATACGGATATAACGAATTATGGATATAACAAAGTAAATTCACAGGTCCCAAGGACTTCGCTATAACCGAGTTTTACTGTATCTTCAATTTTTTTTCCAGTTTATGTACTCGCTGATATGCATTAAAACCTACAGTCAAATTAAACTTCGATATTTTTCCTGACATGTTAAAAAAAAAAAAAAAAAAAAAACATTAAAAGCATAAGTTTCATGTATAAAGGATAAATGATAAGGATTGAATCTGAGAAAGTTGATTCAGTAAAATTGTGATTTATACTTAGATGTTATATTACTTGCCTTGCTACAGATTTTAGTGTTGATTGGTGGGCATTAGGGGTACTGATGTTTGAGATGTTGGCTGGGAGGTCACCGTTTGATGTGGTGGGCGGGGCTGAAAACCCTGACCAAAACTCCGAGGATTACCTATTCCAGAGTAAGACTAAATCTTGTTTTACTTCAACCTTACCATCAATAAATTGATGTGAATGATTTATAGTTAATGTAAATTATACTTTCCCTTTTTTTCACTTCTAAGATTTTAAAATTGCCATTGTTTCTTTCAGTTATCCTGGAGAAAACTATCAGAATCCCCCGCTCACTTTCTGTAAAAGCAGCATCCATCCTCAAAGGATTCCTTAACAAGGTATTTTATGAGGACTTGATCTTATTTTGTTGATACTTTTCTCCACTTCTTGAAGTCATAACTCAGGATCAGTTTAGTACTTAGAGTAACTGAGTTACTCAGTTATTTCAGTTCATCAGAATATGGGGTAGAATAAAGAACAGAACCAGTCAAATGTATCAGTGGAATTGTATAAGTTAGGAATGAGGAATCTCTTAAAATCTGATAGGATACTATTGATCATTCTAATTTTAAATATTGCTTTTTAACTGAAAGTCTTTTGGTTGACTTTAGACATACTGTAAAATTGTACATAAAATGCCACCAATTTAAAGTACATGAACCATTAGCTTCTTTTATTTGTAAGCAGAGAAGTAGTTGAAGGTGAGAACAGAGCTTCATTAAATTTCTTTTTCCATTCATTCATTCTACAGTTTCTAAGTCAGGGGTCATTTGAGATGGCCAGCAGCTCGGTGATATCCAAATCTGACTTGTATTGATTTAATATCCTTGTATCTGACTGGGTTTTTTTTAAATATAAACAGAACCCAACAGAGAGACTTGGATGCCATCATGAGACAGGTTTCAATGACATCCAGTCCCACCCTTTCTTCAGAGCCGTTCAATGGCATGAGCTGGAACAGAAGTTAGTCACTCCACCATACAAGCCAAACCTGAAATCTGATCGAGATCTAGAACACTTTGACCCTGCTTTCACAGATGAACCAGTTCAGCTAACACCAGATGATCCGTGAGTTAAATGTTTCTTACTTATCAGTAAGTTAATCTTTGATTGATAAAGAAAGTGGATTTAAGACTAAGCATATTGAGTTGTTGGAGTTAAGACTAATCATATTGAGTTGTTGGAGTTGAGACTAAGCATATTGAGTTGTTAAGACTAAGCATATTTTAAAAGTTGTCATGAATCATCAGAGTGCCATTCTTTCTGCATACTTTTGCCCGAGTGTCCATTATTTGTTTTATAGACCTTTGGAAATTGTGCAAAGTTATGTTGTAAATATACAGGTGTATATTTCCCATCTCAAGTCGTAGAGTTTAGCTTCATTGTCCCCTACTACCGTATCACAAAAGTGCAGGGACATTAAATCTTGTCCATCTGTTGGTCCAGCTGTCTGTGTGTCTGTTTGTCTGTAAACAATTTATCAAAATGCTACTTCTCTTACACTTTTGGTCCAATTTCAATATAACTTTGTACACAAGTTGACTACACTAAGATACTCAATTCTCTTTATCTGTCTTTGATTTCAATGAACGGGGTTGCCAAGGACTAAAAATAGAAATTTTTGTGAAATTCTTTTTTAAAAAAATACTCTCCCTACAGTTTTAGTTCAATTTCAGTATAACTAGATTCACAAATGGACTACTCTAAGATAAACAATCCTTTTTATAGGTTTTTGATTTTGATGAACAATGTTGCCATGGTTACTAATAATAGAAATTTTTGTGAAATTCTTTCAAAAAGATACTTTTTCTACAGTTCTGATCAGATTCCAGTAAAACTTTTTACACAGGTAGTCTATTCTCAGACAAATAATTCTCTATATCAGTTTTTGATTTCGATGAATGGTGATTGCCATGGTTACCAAAAATAGAAATTTCAAAGAATTTCTTTCAAAATGCTATTCCTCCTACAGTTTTGGTCCGATTTCAATAACACTTCATAGACAAAAAGACTTCACTAAAGTACATAATCCTGTATATTGGTTTTTGATTTTAACAAAATATTGTAGCTTTGATTACTAAAAATAGAAATTTCAAGGAAATTCTTACAAAAGGCTACTCCTACTGCAGTTTTTGTCCAATTGCAATTAAACTTGACTCATAAAGGGACTAATCCAAGCATCATTATTTTATTTATTTCTGTAGCCATAGTTTCAACACCAAGTGCTACTTTTCTCTACCTTTGTTAAGTAAGAAGAGTAGAGCTACAGTCTCTTCAGAGACTTCTAGTTTCACCTCAAACTGCAAATCATCAAATTTTCATGACACATTATTTTGCAAGATAGTAATATTGTACTCATAAGCAAGGTAAAATTTTTGCGAATTCTGGCTATTATATGCGAATATGAATTTTCACATGTGCTTTACATGTGACAAGACTTCTGAATTTACTTATGATTTTTGGCTTCTTGACCTTGAAATTTGGCCTACTTTTCAACAAATTTATCTTTGGCCATAGCTTTTGAATGATAGGAGATATGGCTGTCATATTTTAAATGTGCATTACTTTTCACAAGACCAGACTTTGACTTCAAGACCTTGATCTTTGACCTCCATTTTAACATTGGCTGTAGCTTTTGCACCTGAAAAGACAAGGTTTTCATATTTTACAAGTGTATTACCTGTGGTAAGACCTTTCTGAGTTTACATTTATTTTTATCTCTTGCCTTGAAGTTTGACATACTTTTCGAAATGTTAAACCTTTGCTGTAACTTTTGAATGGAAGAGACAAGACTTTTATACTCTTCTCAAATGTGCATTACCTGTGACAAGATCTCTTCAAGTGTACAATGGTTTTGACCTCATAACATAGTCTACATAGACCTTGAAGTCTTACTTTCAAAAACTTCTGCCTTTCGCATTATTTCTGAACCAGAACTGAACATATATCATGTTCTTCAAAAATATAAAACATTGTTTAGTATGATGGACAGACAAGACAGATACAATATGCAATTGATCATTGTACTCCAACCAATAATACCTTGAAAGCAGAGGACCATAATTCTCTGAATTTTCTTGTTTATATTGGAAAGAGAACTGTACATTTTTCATAACATTACTATAAAAAAAAACATACAAAATTGCTTCAGTTGTCATTGTTTCCTCCTCACAGGAAAGTGATTGATAAGATAGAGCAGTCTGAGTTTGATGGTTTTGAGTATGTGAACCCCCTGTTGATGTCACTCGAGGACTGTGTATAGCAGAGTCATTAGCCACACCCATGAATCAGGGTGACAGGTGCTTTGTATCAAGAGCCGGGAACCAGACAATCTTCTTCATGTACCTCAACCTTGTTGGAAGGAATGGTGAGAAAATGGCATAGATCAGGGTTGTGAAGAGTAAATCACTGATTGTGGATATTGATGCTAATCATTTTGTGATATATGTTTACAGAAAAAAAAACTATTTGCAACTGTACATTTGAATATTTTACCAAAAGATTCAGTATCTTATAAGGACACTGGTTTTTGCTTATTTCTTGTCTTTAAGTGTTTTTTTGGTGAATTGTTTGTTTATAGAAGTCATTGAGATTGTAATATTCTTTGTTATTTAACTGTGGAGGATAGAGAAACAGATACGCTGTATGTATATACTTTTATGTTTGTAGATGCAATGTATTTTCTTTGATAAGAGACCCATGTTGTGAATTGGGTGGAAATTTTTTTTTTTTTTGCAATATTTCTCTGTATCATTTTTGTACAACGAATGAGGTTAATTGTCTACTGAAGCAGAGCATTACTACTACTGTAAATATATATGTACATTTCTAATCAGATCATTATCTATAGATCTTAAAAGTAGACTCATTTTTTCCTTCACAATATCGTTTTTGTCACAATCAGAGTGTGTCAAAATCATAGTGTGTGAAAGGGGGGAGGGGATTAATAGATCTGATATTATAATAATTGAATCATGTCTTTTTCATTATTTTTGATCTTGTGAATTCACACTTTTCACCACCTACAACTATGGTGAAAATACATAATTATTGTATTTAACAATGTATGAAAAGATAAATTTCTTTGTAAAGAGAAGCAGTATTGTATATTGTTTATTTACCAATGTACAGTGTATTTGTGAATGTTTATTTGTTCAAGTTGTTTGATTTCAATTTTTGAAGACCAAGTGCAATGTGATTATTTATGTTAGTCATAAGAAGTGCTGCATTATTGTTTGAGTGATGCTATAACAGCTTTTTTTTTTTTTTTTTTTTTTTTTTTTTTTTTTTTTTTTTTTTTTTAAAAAAAACAATGGATTTCTGTTTGACTACATTACAACAATGCCACTTTGATTTTTTTTTTTATTTATTTAACCTTTTTTTCTGCTGTTTCCTAAACTTGATCAAGGCAGATTTTGGGAAGGAATAATATTATTTAAATTTTCATTTTCGTTAACTTTCTTTTTAATTGTCTAAACTGTTAATCTCACATTTGAGAGAAAGCACAAGATCTACTAAGATATAAATTTCATTGTTACATATCAACTTAATATTATGTCCAATAGTTAATTGTTTACAGTATATCAACTTAACATTATGTCCAATAGTCAATTGTTTACAGTATATCAACTCAACATTATGTCCAATAGTTAATTGTTTACAGTATATCAACTCAACATTATGTCCAATAGTCAGTTGTTTACAGTATATCAACTTAATATTATGTCCAATAGCTATAGGAAATACTGTAGGTCATATTTTATGTACATGTAATATTGGGTCAAGTCATTAATACTAAATCAAAATCTGTAAAATAACATCTACAGTATACAATTATTATTATTATCACTATTATTGTCTTCCATTGAAAAAACCTGTGGATTTTTTAAGGGAGTTTATTTAATTTTATACATGTACTGCCTATCCAACCTATATTTAACAGTCATTTAATTATTTATGTATGTAATTAATGAATTGTTCATACAGTGATTTGACTGTGTTTTACTCGATTTTTTTTTTTTTTAAATAATTTATATTTTTTGTACAGAACATATCCAACATTACGCATTGAGTGTACAATTTAAAATACTTGCGGTTTAATGATTTAAGGATAGATGTGATGACTTAAAGCTCTTTTTGTCCATTAAATTGCAACCATTGGAACAAATTTTTCCATCAAAGATTCATTGATGATCTTTTAATGTACAAACTAGGTTATTTACATACTGTTTGATTAGTTTTGTTTAAAATGACCAACTTTTTACAAATTGGACTCGCAAAGGCATTCCAAATAAGTTTTGCTTTACTTTGATTTGTATGTTATTTTTGTGCAAAGTTACAATTGGTTGTGATATTCCAAGTTTCAAAATACATTGTACATTGTGTGTGTTTTGTCCTTCTGTTTTCAAACAATAAATCATTTATGACCAGGAGTTGTCTTTTGTATGTACAATTTCAAAGGACCATTTAAGTTCAACAGAAGAAAATCAGGAGGATCTAATTTTTTTGGGGGGGGGGGGGGGCACAGATGTATTAAAACAAAAAAAAATGCATATCATTGAAGTTCAGAGATTTACTGGACTTTTTCCCGAGTTTGAAGCATAAAAATTGAGATACATGAACCCTCTAATAAGACAGATCATGCTCACTGGAATAAATATTATTCCTCTGTAATTTGTCAAGTTAAATGGCCATTTCTGTACAACTTTTATACCATAAGGTATGCTGAAATTGTGTGCATTTTAATTACAAATTAGATTTCTTGGAAAATTATTAGCGTTAAAGCCAAATGTTGTATGAGTGAATAGAAGGACGACGATGGACCTAAGTTCAATTATTTTTACTTTATTTTTAATTATTGGTCTGTTTAAAATCCATTTTACTGAAGGAGATTGAAAGATGGTGATTATCTTCAATACAAATCAAACTTGCAGGCAGTTGTCTACAATCTTCTGTATCTTAATCTTTTTCAATGTATTTGTATCACCAAAGTCTCAAGACCATGTTGTCAAGATTAAGAATTGAGCAAGGATACATTCAAAATCGCAGCAGCTGCGTAGAGCTACGACCTTCAAAGATATGCTAGCATAATCGCTACAAAGGGATAAGCGTACATTCATAAAGTGCATTCAATATACCGGGGTAGGTTTAGCAGTTAGCTAGGCTAGTTGAATGTGGTCCTTACTGGACATGTATAATTACCCTTCGATGCAAGATGTTACAAAGATTGGGACATTGAGAAGAAAAAAAGACTTGCTAATTCTGATTTCTCAATGGCATGACTTTTTTTAATTTTCTGTATATTTCCGAAAGGAGTTTATCTCCACTGATTATTGAGTTTGTTACAGGCCTGTAGGAAGCAAGTTCAGTTTTGGGTGACACAACCAAACTTTTTCAGTGGGGGGGGGGGGGGGGGGTACCAAGAAAAAAAATCATGACAAGCCAAAAAAAGTCATCAAACGTTAAGTCTGAGGGTTCTGTAGCATAAAGTAACTATGTTTTCTATAGTATATGATATATTGGCAAAATTATTGGGGGGGGGGGGGGGTTATAATAACATGTGCGATTATATGTATAAGGCATTTAAAATTTTGGTGTGTGTAGTTCAACTTCTCTGAATGTTCAGAGGTTGAGATCGTATACAATGTTCTGATAGCTCTTGTCCTTAAACTGAGTTTTTGTCTTTTATCATCATATCATCTCTGCCTGGACAAAGCGAACTTAATCACTAATATAAACAGCTTGCTTTATTGCGAAATTTATTAAACAAATTACAATAAATAAATAAATACGAAATCATTATGCATACCAATTTTTATTTTCAATATTGAAAAGAAAATTCAATTTTGCCGCCAGAAAGTCTGCACATAAAGCCTACAAAAAGTGTACTCTTGGATTCAAGTTTGTTAGTCTGGAGTCACGAGGATAAACTCTTTGTGGACTCATGTTTCCTCCAAATACAGGCCTCTATACATGTAGTAAGTAGTCAACATGGTAAATTCTCAATGTATCCCATGAACATTATCCTGGATTGACATTCTGTATTTTTATTACGATAAATATTTCACATAGTGTACTCATGGATTGACATTCTGTATTTTTATTACGACTTGTCGGAGTGAAACTGCAGTATAAAATATAAATGGCTTCGAAGAGGCCGAATTTGGACACATTTTGTCACGGTTCCTGAAATGAACTCTCTTCTAAGTTCATATGCCGTTACTACGTATAAGAATTGATGCTAGTTTTGATCCAGCACAACTTCATTTTGTTTTGCAGTTCCCAGATGTTGTATTTCATCATGTTTATTGATGCCGTCATTTTACGAATTCCTTGAGTTCAATAAATTTTCTTCATGTAGTGGGTGAATTTATTTATTTATGAGTTTATCCAAATGGGCCTTTTTGCAATGATAACTTTGTAAAACAGTTAATATTTCTTGATGGATGAAGGTTCAGTATTCAAAGTAACGGATAAGATAAAATAAATATTTTTTTCTGAGAAGTGATCGAATCAGCATACAGCTCAAATCCTTTACAACAGAAATCCCCGACGAAATCCACAGAAGGTGTCGGGGGAGGGTGTGGCCTGGGGTCTGACAGCACTATCAGCGGGTCCCGGTGTTGGCTCTTGCGTTGTCTGAGAAACAACGTCAACGTCAGTACTCTCAACTTCAGCTTCCTCCCTGGCTCTCCGCTCTTTATGATAAAATAAAATATTTATGAATAAGAAAAAAATATACATGTATATTTTTGAAATTACATTATCATCGGTAATTGTTGGCTTTTTTATTTTGAAGACATTAAATTCCGCTACAAATCAAGGTGAATCGAAAAGATTAGATTTCTCATTCATTGAGAGAACCAAATTTCAAACAGATCGATCAAAGAGAAAGAAGGATTTGAGCTCATTTAATCACATATTTTTTTTCTCCATTGTGAGATATTTTATATAATGAAATTTCAAACGCATAATGCAAATACCTTGTATTTTAGATGAAACCCATCTATATGTATACTGAACTGACAAGAAAACCAAATGCACGGTGACAATCATGGTGATCTTTTATCAAAATGATGACAATGGCTTCTTACTGTGACGTCAGAACCTTAACCAGACTTTTTACGTCAGATAACTGTGACGTCATAATAAAAAATCTCCATGATCATCATAAATGTTACATACAAATTTACATACAATGTTCTTATAAATGGACGTATAGATGGGTATTATCGAAAATACAAAGTATTTGAATGACATGTAATGACATTTGTCACTGTGCTACTTTATTGTACGAACCAATCATTTGCACAGTATAATGACCAAATTTCTTCGAAAAAGAGAGAGTGTGTAAATTAATTGAATGTACCCTGCATATGATGTCTACATTTTCAAATTTGTATATTCCTTCATGTGCTTTCATTTCATCTTTTTTTTTTTTTATTTTACTAAAGTGTATCAAGTTTATTCCACTTTAGATAAAAAAAAAGTACAGTTTTGTTTCTTGTCCTCTAATAACTGAAACTGAAAGCATCGCATCAACTGCTGAAAGTGACGTCTTTACCTTATCATCTACTACTCCAGAAATCCGACCAGGTATCGCTGCCATCAGCACTGTCAGACCCTATGTCCTCCTCCCCCCCCCTCCCCCACACCCGCATGATTACTTTTGGGGGCTGTTTTAGGATTGATTTTAGCTTGGATTTCCACGAATTTTGAACTCATTTCTATGGCATAGCAAACGTTGCAATATTCGATCTTTTCCATTTGTATTGTATAATTTTCCGTTTATATTCTTTAATTTTCCATTCGCTTTGTATAATTTTCCATTTGTATTGTATAATGTTTATTTGTATTCTATAATTTTCCATTTGTATTCTATTTCTCATTTGTATTGTATAATTTTTCATTTGTATTAATGTAAAATTTTTATTTGTATTCTATGATTTTTCATTTGTATTGTTTAACTTTTCATTTGTATTGAATAATTTTTATTTGTATTCTATAATTTTCCATTTGTATTCTCTAATTATGTTCCCCAAACGAAGTTTGGGAACATATTGTTTTTACTCTGTTTCTTATTATTATTATTAGGGTCTTCCGACCTTCCTTCGGAAGACCCTACTGTTATTCTACTGTTTCTTATTATTATTTTATTTTTTTTTCCCGCCGATTTTCAGCAGGCGATTTCTCGGAGACCTTTTGTCCGATTGCTATGAAACTTTCAGGGTAGATACAGTGTATTATTGCCTAAAAACGCTTTTTTCAAATTTTCGATATATACCCCCGTTCATGAGTTATTGCCCTTTAATCGATATTTGGATGGTCTCTTGTCCAGTAGAATTCTCAATAACGACACATGATATTTGCATGAAAACTGGAGAACTTGTAACTAATACATTGCAGATGCGCAGAACATTAAAATTGTAGGCTAATTTTTTTAAGTTCGGAAGCTATATGACGGCAAGTTTTAAGAATTATTTTTCCATGAAATTTTGCTGCTTTTTGTTTAATAACTTTTAAACTGATAAAAATTTGGTAAGACATATAGAATAAAAGTTGTGTGTAATTACGAGAGCTTTCAGATAACATCAAGAAAAAGGGGCTGGCCCCTATATTCAGGGGACAGCAGGTCATAAAAGTATTTTTTGGATAGCTAGAAATATTAAAATATTATGAAAAAGTTTGAATGACATAATTTCTAACATATTAAATCTTGTCATGTGGTATAAAGAGAAACAAGCTCCGTGCTATATTTTATTCTATTTTATATAATAATTATTCGAGAATCGTACAGGAACAAGTTGTCTACAAACCAGCCACGCCTTTTAGGGCATCGTAACACATGCTTGTACGGTTTTAGATAGTTGTTGTGTTTTAAATAAATCGTTTTGATTCGATTTCTCTGTTTTCTGTTATTTAAATCGTTTATAAATGCAAGTTATTTACACAAGTAAAGGTAAATCAACATTTACAAATGCATCCGTATAGAAAGAGTCTTAATCGGGGCCTCTTGTTTGTAACCTGGATGTAAACAATCACGAGCGGCATTGTGGGAAGAAGACACAAAGACCCGATATACGAAAAACGTGATTTCATCTGATGCTTTGTTGGAAAATATTTAAAAAAAAGTGTAGTTTAGTATAGCATAATGCTTCATAATCAATAATTTTTAAAAATAAATCATGTTTAACACTCAATCTGATTATTTTATTTTTTGAAAAATCATCAGGTCGAATATCAGGTTTTTAGTATATCAAGTCTTTAGTACGTCCCCGAAAGTAGCCATGCAAGTCGGAATTACAGACAGAAAATGGGAAGAAAATATGTGAAGTTGACAGTTGTACATTTTCTTAACGTACGAGCCGTATGTAGACATGCACGTTTAATCCACATCTACGAAGCACATAAAATCCTTGGTTGCGTACAGGGA